CTAGTAGGATGGATTTCCGGATAGATTGGGATGCGAGTGTAGATCGACTTTTTGTAAATGTTCTGATTACTGTTGCTAAAAATATCCCAGTTCCGCCCATTGGCACGGAATAGTGAATAATCCACTCATGCATTGATTTCACTGACTCCTTCCAAAATAGCAAAACTTCCTCTCCTCTATAGGTCTACTTTACCGGCGTCCAAGATAACGATCCCTTCTGTCGTACCTGTACACTTTTCCAATAATTATAGCACTAAAATTGGACTCCTTCGCTATTAATATCGACGTATTTAGATCACGAGTGTATAGATTGCTTATCCCCTCAACTATTCCTGCCATTTACTTAATATCTGTCAGAATTATTCTTCTATCGTTAGATATAATTATATAGATATAATTGTGTTAGATAAATTATGTAGATCGTTTTTTTTATCTACATTTTTATTGCCATGTACTAACCGTTACTGTGCTTGTTTCGTTTCGATTTATTTTGTTTTATGAAATAATGAGCATTGGCTGGTAAATAAATAAAATAAAATAAAATCTGGGCTTCCAGATCACAGACCTAGACCAGCGAAGCGTCCTTCGGACAATTACGAGAATGCCGAGGAGATATCGAACAGCACCGATCCCGAGGGTGTCAACGAGGGCACCATGAAGAGCAGGAGGATCAGAAAGCCTTTGAAGGGAGTGGAGAACGGTGCTTTTCAGCAGGAAGCGAACCCGGGACCCAAGCAGTCTGAGAGCGAGCTATACTTTGGCGATGTGAGCTCTTGCTGTGGCCCTGAGAGCAGTTTCTACGACCTGGCCGTGGAGAAGGAAGGTAGAAAAAACTGCTCAGTGTCCATAAATACCTCCACCGAGCCTAGAATCCGTAGCGTTCTGCCGTACGGGACGTAAAGACAGCGCCAATCAAGACTATTCGCCATCTTGATAGGCTATACTAGTACTGCTAGCTGTTTCTTAATTGAGAAACTGCACTTGAACTTTGAATTGACGTGAGGCCGTGAGGCAATCCAATATAGTCACACTACACGCACATAAAAGAGACCCATATACGTGTACGTGTTTCAAGCAAGTTGAAAGGGTTCCGAGTACGGCTGGTAATCGTTTTGACGCTTAAGTATCGCAACGAGCAGCTTTAGAGTGGTCCATCGTCTTTCCTAAAAGTCCAATCTATGTCTGAACATACTACAAAATACGAAATTTTAGGTTATCATAAAATAACTAATTTAGCTATAGACAGCGACACTGGTGTGGCCTGCCAAAATGGCTGATACTCTCAATTTCCCTTACACCTTCGGCAGAACCTTACCATAACTAGGCGCTATCCTTATCATCTGCGATTCTGCTATCACGATAAAAAAAAACGATCCACAAACTTCTAGGTGCCGAGCACTCGGAAGGCGTCGACTACCTAGCAGCTCGTTTAGGCAAACGGCAACTGTCCAAGCGGTCCAGACTGCCTCTTCCTCTGCCATCGGACAGCGGCGACATACCGTCCGACAATTATGCCAACAGCGACGAGCCCAGGACCGCCAGGGGACCGTTCTTAGCTCCCGACGCGCAGTACGAGGTGATCCAGCAAGGACGATACTCGTACTACGCGTCGAAGGACGACGAGCAGCTTCAGGAGGGGCCGGCTACCTCGGGCTACTTCAGGGTGGAGGAGACAGACAGGGCCAGGGACAGAGACTACAGGGATTACAGAAGCAGCCAAGAGGAGGAGACGCCCCAGTGCTGCCTCAGCGACTCGACCACGTTGGACTCTGGCTGGCAGAGTGGCGAACAGCAGCAGTCCGACGACAATGTTCGACCGGTGAACGTGTAATCGCTTTCTGGGAGCAGGCCTGTCGAGTGTCAGAGACTTCTGGGTCCTGAATTCACGAGAACCGAGACCGTTTAGCCCCAGGATCTCTGATGCTCGACGGAGGAGCCGCGGAACAATTTCGAAACGAAACAGAACTCACAGTACAACTCGTCCTTTGATTTCCGAGACAGAATCACTGGAGAACCGTGCCCGTTTAGTCTTTTATTGCGTTACAAGGGAGGATGAAGACGAGGACCACCGTGTCCCTCGTAGAGTCGCAAGCGATGTGATTTCTCGTGCTGTAGCGTTAAAACACGCGTAAACGTTAATCGTTAGGATCTAAGCGGGGCGTGGGCTCCGGTCGGCCCGCGGAGCGCTAAACCACGCCCACTTGCCGCGACGCGCCGCCCCCGGGGGCCATTTACCGAGCTCCGGGAGCAGACCGTGGCCCGCGCAACCGATCTGAGCGAACGGTGTCGCGACCCCGAAGCAATCGCGTCGCCAAGAAGTCTGAAGCGGAATTGCGCGTCGCAGATTCGTCGGCTAATTTGCGGGCAATCCTGCGTAGCCAGGTATTTTTGTTAATTAAGCGATGTCGCCCGTGTTGTTTGTAGCATTAATCGATGTGCGCCGATGCGAATTCGTACTCGCCGTGAAGAGAGGGAGGGGGGAGAGAGAGAAGGAGTAATTAACTCGATAGGTGAAACGCCGGAGGAAAGGCCGCCCCGTCGGCGAGAAAGCTCCCGAAAGCCGCGCTGCTTCGTAACGGTGAAGACCTTTCCCCCGGCTTTTCGTTAGAAACGTCCATGTACAAACGTGTGCTTTACTCTTGCCAATACCTTGCTAGATGTCAGCTCGATTTCGCACTTAGCCGCTAATCGTTGCAACAGCCGTCTCACAATTTACGCGTTCGAATTTACAGTGTCGCCGGCGCGTCCCGTCGAATCCGCTAACTGGCCGGTCGGTCACTGCCATTTAACGGTCGGTCAGCTGGGTCCTTCGGAAACAATCGATGGACCGTACCGGCGCGGCTGATACATTCGCGGCGGAGCTCCGACCTTCACGTCTACACTCCCGTTTCTACGATTCCCCGTTTTTATTTTAAGGAACTAGCGCGGACCCACGGACAGTCCGTGTACAAATTCAGGTGGACCAAGAAGTACTAGCGAACGATCGAATCTTCGCGATCTGGCGGGACAGATTAGACTATCGTCGAACCGTTTGTCGTCGTTGTCGGCCGCTCGTTGCGTAACCAGCGGGGCAGATGAATATTTTCTAGCCGGGACCCGAGCGTGGATGGAGGCCCGAGTAGTTTAACGTTGTTTACTCGATAAAGTGTACCTTAAGAGCGATCTACGTAGCAAGTCGAACGATGTAACTGATCATTATGAGAAATAAAGCTTCGTTTTGTAAAGAAACCGCCGGTCAAAGGTTCGCGCGACTGACTCCAACGCGATTCCGTCGCGGGCTAATAAACTCGAGGAGCACGCACACGCACGCACACTCTTTGTTCCGTTCTGTTCTTCTACTCAGCGCTGTCTCCCCGAAAAAATTAGAACGCAGTCGCAAGCCGGAGACGCAACGAGACCGAATGGAATTATCTGGACGACCCAATCGGAGGGCATAGACGGCGACAGTGCTCGCTGTTATATGTCGCAGAAACACGCCCAGGTAAGCATTTAACGAGGAATGCGGGATCTATAGACGTGTAGCTCTATTGTCAGCGGTTTTCTCGGTAAACTCCCGCGCTCTGCGCGTTGGCCAATATCAGATTATGGGATTTCGCAAGCGGCTGCACGATCGTTGAACTTTCGCAACACGTAGAGGTATATGCGCGCGTACGAAAGGCCGAATCCATTGTGAGCTAAGTTCTGCCTGGCTCTAGATCTAGATCCACTGTACAGAAACGGGACTACGTTTCCCAAGTAGCGTGTCTGTGCGCCTGTATCAGCGTGCTTGCGTGTATGTGTGTATGCGTGTGCCTTCGTACTTCAAGTTCAATCCGCGATCGTGACGCAACAGTTAATTCGATTCCGACGGAAGAGTTTAATTAACGCCGCGGCTCCGGCAACTCATCGTCGGAGGTGAATAAATCGCAATTAACCATTTTCTGGGATCGCGATTGATGCGATCTCGCGGAAGACCGCGAATCAAGACTCGTTGCGGGTAACAACCGTTCTTTAACTGTATCCGAATCGACCGCGACGATGTGTGTCGCAATCGCGCGGCCGACTCCGCGAGATATCCTATTCGCTCCCGCGAATCGCATACAATGCGTTTCGGTCGGCGATTAATTAACCGAGCGAACCGAGAGGGACCTGGAGTTCCTACGAGAGTCTGCTAATTCGTTGCACAATGTCTCAGGGTGCTGCTAATCTACGGTGTGAGATCGATACAGTCGATGTCAGTTCATCGCTCATAAACGGTTCCGTCATCTCCGTTCACGTCTTCGAGCTTCTGCTCAAGAACAGGATCCCTCGACGACCCTGTGCGCAGCCTGGTTCGCCAGGAACCTCTCCACCCTCTCCCTGAACTCCCTGCTAGACTCTGGCAGAGGCAGCCTTGGTCCCGGGTTCCTCAAACCGTGAAGAGCGCTGAGGTTCTGCAAGCTCTCCGACAGTCTCCGATCGTGGTCCAAGATGTCCGGCCTCGGAGCCGGTAGTTTCCTCTTCCCCAGACCTCCCGTGCTCGTCGAGTTAGCCTGTCCGGTGCCGTCGTTGAGGTAACTGGACTCCGGCAGCCGGTTCATCATCCCCTTCAGCGCGATCCTGGCGCTGAGAGCCGACCAGAAAGCCTCGAGCAACGCCGCGACCAAAACGTTCACCGTTAACAGGATCCTAGCATGCGAAGTATCCTGGTAGTTCTGCTTCCAGAAGGACATCACCCTGCTCTTTATAGACAGCAATGACTCCTCGGTGAAATTCCGCGATTCCACGTTCTCCTTGGTCGCGGTTGTCGGAGGACTTTCAGTGCCGTTGGCTGACATTTCGCTCGGATCGCTGGTCGAGGCTCTCAAGATGTACCCAGATATGTTAGACATGTTATCTATCACTATGCCGGGCGTAACATTCGCCAACTGATCGTAAGCGTCCGTGACGTTGAACGTCTCCTGTTCCCTCATCTCGTCGATCAGCGTCTCGTTCCTCAGATGTATCTCGGCGCGGGTCGGATGTTGCTCCAGGATCTGCTCCAAGGACCACAGAGGTCTCGCGGTGCTCTCAGCCGCGGCTGCGATGTCGAAGACAGTGGCGACGAAGCAGAGGACCGCCGCGATCAACGAGAACAGGCTGCCGTAGAAGAAGATGGCGATGTTCCTGTCGATGTACCACCGTCGCCAAGCCAGGACCCCTGTCACGAACGGGACCAGGCAGGCCGCTGAGAGGATGGGACCTTGAAGAGACAAGGCCAGGCTGCCCAAGAGCAACGAAAGGGCGCCTAGGCCGAAGTGAACGAAGGACAGTCCCCCTACGGTCGAAGCTGAATAGCGTCGCTCCGATGGGTACAAAGAGGACATGGGCGGCTTCGTCTTCACCTTTATCACGTACACGTTCTCCATCATTGTTCCCTGACGACCTTTAGCGGCCAACCAAGTTCCTCTGCGATTAGTTCGATTTGAAATCAGGAGACCGGGTTCGAGGTTGCTTCGATGTTTTCAGGACTCAGTTCATAAACGCGACGCCTTTCCCAGCTCGGCGATCTTCATCTTCTTTGGTCTGATCTTTGATCCGATACTCGCCGATTACAAACTGTCAGATCCAATGGAGATAGTCGGCGGTACCTGAACACTTGTCTTGCGATCGTGTCTAAGCGATCTGTCTAAGCTGCTCGGCGACTAGGAGATTAGGTTCGGAGTTGCTTCGACGTCTTCTCAGACCTGGGTTCCAAAGCACGGCGCCAGTCTGTGCTCCACGCACGACATTGTTCACGACCGACACCGTACTGTCCGAAACCGTCGGGACAAAAGGGGATCGCCTGAGGTACCTGAGCACCTGCCACGCGGTGACATCGTCGCACGGCGTCCTAGACGCGCATATTCAAGCCGGTCGGTTCCCACCGGCGGAAATCGTTGGTCGCTTCCTGTCGACTTCGGAACAAAGAGCACTTGACCGTGAACGGAACGCACAAAACGGGCGGCATGGAACTCGGCCAGGGAAATGGGCGTCGTGCGGCGCGACAGCAGAATCGACACGCGACAAGGTGGATCGCGACTGGTTTCGCTGGTCGCGATAATGCCGACTCGCTGCCGTCCAGTTGAAGAGAGGTCCCCAATAATTTCCGGGCTGGCGGTGCCGAGAGCGGCCGGCCAATTATGCTAACCGCCAGCGAGCTAATTGAAATCCTCGCGGTCGCGTCGCGCGGATTTCTTGGCGGCTTGGCGCGACGGTTGCGCAATCGCGACAACAATGGAACGAGAACGAAAATCCGCGGCGCATCCAATCTGCGGGAACATGGAACAGAGGTTTAACAACCCGGCTGGCTCGGCGTCGCTATTTTTCATTCGGTTTCCTCGCCGGCGAATATTATGCAATGCCGGTTGATTACGCGGCGATTCAATTATGCCGCTGCACGCGCGTGCACCGGCGCTGCGCACGCTAGCTGGTTTACTCGCTAGCTCGCTCGCTCGCTCGCTCGATCGATCGGCCGTTTCTCAGACTCCGTTTTCACTGGTTTCTTGTCTCCCCTTCGCTCGATCTCTTGGGAAATCACCGATCCGGTAGCCGCGGTTCCCTTAATAACCGGTCGATCGGTCGCGATCAATCTTCCAGTTAATCCGATCGCGATGCTCCTCCTCGCGCAGATGGGTCACGAGTTAGCCGCGCGATTAGCACTGCCGAGTTCCACGAAGGCTGCCGAGACGTCTCACTTTACTCTCCTATCGAGTTTCTCGGTCTGTCGCGGCGACGCCGCGTCCGAAGCGAGATCGGTACGCTGCTTTTAATCGCTCGTCGATCGATCGGCCCTCTCGCGATCAACGCTCCAGGAGCGCCGCGGATAAAACGGACATCGCTCGAGAGATTTATCGAGCCGCCGGCGGATAATTTACGGGGACAGACTATCCGCGGGAGACACTCGGCAAGAGACTGAACCGCGAAGACTAGTTCGCGCTGAAATTGCTACGAGATCCTGAACCGGCCTCCCACGCGGCCGGTTCCCAGTGAAAGGGACAACGGCGGATAGATGAACCTTCGCGTTGTTCCAAGCCTTCCTCACAGCACTTTCCGCGGCCGCGGAACGATGTCGTGCCGATGGGAAAAAACGGTCTGCCAGCGAGCAGAATATTCATAAGTCGGGCATTATGTAAAGTCCGTGCTCCAGTTCTCATGCATCGCGAGCAGGAGGATGTCCCGCAGCCAGAACGGATCGCGAAGCTGGACTTTGCACCGGAGAGCTAGATGATTTGTTTAGGACCTGGAACATCGTTCTCCGAGGATTAGCGCACCTGCAGATGGCAAAACACACCGGGAGGTGTCAACGCAAATACTTCGGAGCTTCGGATATTTCTTCTTCGGACTTTGGATCAGTGGACAACGAGTTTCGTTTTGGAGGAGTCAAGAATGCTTGAGAGAAAAGGATTCAAAGGGGACGCTAAAAAAAGTGGATTCTTTTTTTGTTGGAGTTTCAAGCGTGCAGAATGTTACGTCAAAGCGACATATCGAACACTTAGCGACTGAAGGCAAAGTTCAGTAAATCTTTATCAGATGGGCGAGTCATCTTTCTTTCATGTTTTTTTCGAAACTACAGTTTTCAATCTGGTAGTCACGAAATCCCCGGAACTATACATCCGATTTGCTCAGACTTTTATGATGGTATTCTGCATCGAGTGTTCTACAATGTGGCTCACGATTTCTTGGATACGTTAATCTTTACGCAAACATTTTATTTCAATTTTACACAAACTGTTTACCTAAACTGCTGATTCGTTGATTCTCTGTCAGCATTAATGTCATATGTACTTCTTCTTTATCGTAAAAATGACTGTTTAATCGTATGTATATAAATAAATTAAATTTAAAAAATGGTCTCTCTCTCTTCCTCGTTAAATTCCGCAAAAACAGCGGTTCTCGCGATCTTCGATTGTTTCTAACTCGTAATAAGGTCAACCGATATCGATGAAATGTTACGTATGCATAAAAATCCGAGATTTCTTACTTCTGTCGGTCCAAGTAACGGCAGACTTAAACAATAGTATCTTCGTCCTTGTATGGTAAATTAGTCCCAGTGACATTTGAAAGAATTCAGGTCATCCAGTCCGGTCTGAAAGAAGCAATCGCGTTTTGAAAGACGTTTACGAATACTTTTTGCGCCGACGGTGATGGTTCTCCTCTAGGCCGAGTTTAGGGGATCCGAGTCCCACGATGGATCACTCTGACCTTTATTCTTTGCGCACACGGGCTCGGCAGTCGACCTTTCCGCAAAGCTGTTGCCAAACATCGAGACAAAGGTGAGTCCGCCGCCGATTTTCTCGGGGAACGAGAGTTCGGCAGCGAAGCCGGTGGTTTCCACGGGCCCAGCGCGCCTTGCGATACGATCGCCGACAACGCTAATTAAGGTGGCGGAGGAACGCCGGCATCAACTGGCCAATTAAAAGATGGATTAATACAGTTCGCCGGGTCAATTGTACCTCGCAAAACCTTTGTTCGGCCGGCGGGAATTGGCGGACGACCGGTTTGTCTGATAGCCGCGTCGGTGCGGTCGCGGTCGAACCGTTCGACGGCCATCGGCTCCGTGAACTTTCCGACGAACCCTTTGCCGCTGTCACCGCGGATAATGGGCGGGAGGCCGGGATGAACACCGAGCTGGCAAAATGGAACGATGACTCAGAGGCTGACAAAAGAGAATCGGAGCGGCAGGACACGCGTTTCGGCGCGTGCCGCGTCAATGGCCGCGCACGTGCGCTTTCCCGGATCGATCGCCGGTGGTCGATCGATCCACGATTCGCGGGACACGCTGCGCCGGATCGACGGAAACCTGGGATCGTGGGAATCTCGATGGAACGGCCAGCGAAACCGTCGCGGCGGCGTCGTCCGGCAAGAAAAGAGAAAAGTGAACTTTCTCGGACTTCCGGAGCGGAATTCGCTCGTCATCGATCAGGCCGCTCGAGCGGAAAATCTCTGCTACACTTTCTTGGACAATGACGATTAATACCGTGGAACGGTAACGAGCAACGGCTCCAGTCGATCGAGGCGAAAACAAAACCGTTGGAACGAATCGGCGACGCTGAGCTCGCCTCGACGGCGCAACGAGCATTAAGTTTATTGTCCGCGTTACTCCGGCCTTATCTTTATCACTTATGTAAACGAGCCTCGATATACGCGCGGTGATCGAAACGAAAGCTGATATGCTTCCACGGTAGACGCTGTATGCCCTGAAACACTATTTTCACCGTGCATTCCGTTCGGCCTTTTTGCGGGTCTCTCGCACGTCGGTTGAAAAATCGGGCTCGCCGAAGCGTGAAAACAATCACCCTTTTTATGAAAAATCGTTTATGGTATCTGAAAACCGGACCGATTTCAAAAGACCTCGCGGTCGCGGAACGGATCGGGCCGATGCCTTGTTTCTTAAAATGACTTTTCGGCCGTTAACGCCGCTCGTACCGGCACATACTCGCAGCCTGCAGCGTGCATTCGGCGCGCGAACAGTGAAAGATAAAGAGCGCGTTTGTGATCGGGGACGCGTTTGTGTTGGAGCAGCTGTTGCGACTGGGGCACGCGTCCCAACGGTCGCGGCAGCTGCCCAGAAAATTATCTATAGTGCCCTCGACCGGAGTTCTCTTACATTGCACACAGACGCGCGTGTATTCACGCTCTGGGACTTCCTGATTCCTGGGCAACGCGCGCGGCCCCGAGAATCACCGAAATCCAGTTTACCTTCGAACTCGTAAAATGATAACGCCTTTTTCCAACGATAAAAATCGCGCCTTCGAAAGAAGGTATCTTCGACTCCGAAAGAAGGCACGAGCTTCGTCGATGTTACGGTCGTGGATTCTTAAATAAATACGAGCTGCCGCGCATTCGTTTGCACGACTTAGAACCAACTGAAGATTAACGACTGCTCTGTTTGAGACTGTCGAGATTGCTAGATGCGTACGTACACACTTCAAGGCACGATAATCGCTCCACTTAACGGGAGAGGCTCGAGCGAACCGTTAAAACAAGGATGATTCTCGGCAATTATTTTATAACGCTGATAATACAAATATTATCCTGAAGTATGACAATATATGTATTATCGTATATGCGGTGCTGTTATGACGAGGTTATTCTATTCTTATTTTTTTCATTTTTATGTTTTTTTTTCATTTTACTTTTTGCTCTAGATCGAAGAAAACAGGTGCTGAATTGCACGCCGATGCAATTCAGTAAATGCGATTCAGTAAACTTTGATGAAACGTAACGAAAACATAAATCATGTACCTTGAAACGTTAATGAATGTCTACGGAAAGTGGCGAGAATCTCTATCGAATGTTTCGCGTTATAAAAGAATTGCCGAAAACGATGGTTCTTCGAACGGTTTATTCGCGACCCCTCCGTTAACCCGGCGTACACAACTAGGAGATAGAAAGCTGAAATTGTGGCACGAACGAAGTTCATCTTCGGTCCGGCTGGTAGCCGAAAAATTGATATCGGAAGGTATTTAAAGTTTAAATGACGTCCGAGGGTGCTGTAAACGCGGTCGCGTAAATTCCACGACATCTTAGGGCAGCGGGGCCATAGAAAACGTTGGAGGGAACGCGGCATAAAAACGAGAGGGCCCCCACCCGACGGTGGGACAGCGGGCCCGTATTATGCGAACCCCCTGACAACCCCTCAGGTAGTGTGGCTCACGGACGCGCACACATGCTCGCTTCGAAACGCATGGAGAAACGCCCTTCGTGCATCTGCTCTTAAGGGAACTCATGTGGCAGTTTGTTGCAGGCATCCGTGCAGCACGGACCGAGCGCAATTGGAGAGAGAGAGCATTGGACTCTGCCCCCACGGACTCGCGAACGTTTCGAGGAATATCTTCGACATCCTCATTAAGAAGGTCTCCGCGTCCCGCAAGTTTTCCCGAGGAGGAGTTTCTCGAGCGGACACGGGGGCACCGAGTTCGACGATGTGCCGTGTCTGATTGTGCGACGAAGGATAGTTTGAAAATGTGCAAGAAGATCCGGGACTGCGCCCTGGACGTTCGCTCAGTACCCCTTCGGTTCGAGGCAGCGGAGATCTCGCACCCGGAAACTTTGCAGCCGGCTGCGGCCTCCCCGGAACAATCGTCGCCCCGCATCTACGTCAGCAGCCTGTACGTGACGATCGGGCACCGTCGTACCCGGGCTTAAACGGCCGCGACGCTGGAACTAGCCGCGAATGTTGGCTGCTCGTGTGTCTTAATAGAGAATCATCCATTTACTTGTGCGGGCCGCACGCGTGCTATCAGGCCGCCGCCTCGTGGCTGCCAGCGGAGCAAAAACGCCTCGTTCGAAAGGCATTAATCAAGCTGAACGCGGGTCGCTCGCGGGGCGATACGAACCAATAAACCATGATGGCTCAGACGTCGGACCCTGCCCCGGTCCACTGCTACACCAATCCCTCGTTCTGCCGGCAATCGGAGTACATCCCCGAGGATCAGACGGACCTGCCGCCCCCGCCGCAGTTCCAGGGTGCGGACGACCTGCCGCCGCCGCCGCCGCCGTTGCAGTTGCAAGGCCAGAGCAACCCAGCGTTCCAGGGGCCGACGGAGGCTGGCAGGGTCGAGAACTGCGGGGTGCGGGGGAGGTATTGCTACCTGGAGGACAACAGGAGCCACGCAACGCACCGCAGATACGCGAGCGTTCCGGTGGAGGAGCATCACCCGGTCTACAATCAGACCTCGCGGTACGAGTACATACCCGAGGAGCAGAGGGGCCCGCTGCAGAGGAGGGGCTCCTCCAGGTACGACTTCATTCCACACCAGCAGGTGCAACAGCGTTCCGCAACGGCGGCCAACCAAGACGATGCCGGGGAGACGCAGATGCAAGCCTGCCGGAACAACGCCGGAAGGTACGCCGTTGTACCGGGTGACCAGGAGTTCCACGACGAGGACGCTACCTGGACGAAGCACGGCTCGCCCGTTCGCCGGCACATCGACACGCCGCAGGGTGAGCAGATTCGACGATAAAGCCAGCGGGGAGACGCTCGTTAACGAGCCGGCCAACGAGAATTTCGCATTAACGGGTTACGTGTTACTAGGTCGTTACAGCCGAGTGCCTCTGCAAGAGGATGACGCTCCGGCGTTGCCCGAGAGGAACCAGCACGAGATCTCTCCGAGGAACAATTTGGCTACCCAGAAGCTCCACGAGATTCTGACCACTCCTAGGAAACCGAGATCGAGGTCGGAGGAGAGGACATTTTCTCCGAGAAGGCAGCAGTCCTTCTGTCAAACCGGAACCCCGCAAAGGAGGGCGCTGACGCCAGGTGGCTCGCCGACCGGTATGCGTCTTAGGGTAGTTTTATTCCGTGATTTTTTCACGGGAAACTTAGGAGGCTCTCGATGTTGCAGTCTTTTTTAGCACCTTCGAACGCGATTCTAAATGATCTCTGAATTATTTTAAAAATGGAAAATACAAAGATTCGGACGGAATTTACTCAGCAAAACTACCCTCGGCGAAAATTCTTTCTAACCAACTAAATCCCACGTCCTTTCATCAAAGATCGAATGACAGGATTACCGAGTCATCTAAAACTTCCTTTACAACCTCCGATTTCCAGGTAGAACATTTAGCCCCAGTCGATCCACGCCCCAAGGAACGCCGCATAACAGAACGTACTCGGGGCCTCAGACCTCCACCCCGAACAAAGAATCCTCTGTTCGAAGATGTCTACCGCTGCTAGAGAACACCTCGAGACAGGACCTCTGTCCAGCCAGCAATTGCGGGAGACTGCGATACGTCGGCACGGCCCCGGTCGACCTTGCGTCGTTGGGTCACGGCGATCCACCGCCTCGGTACGGCTACGTGGAAAGCGGCCCCGAGTCTGTGCCTATGGTGTCCGGTTCGCCTAGATATCAGGTGATACCCGCAGGACAGAAGAGGAGCGGCTATCAAAGCGTGGAGAGCGCGTTCATCGCTAGAACCGCCGTGGTAAGAGAGCTAAGTTTGCTTGCTCGGCTAGTCCGAGCTAGAGGCGTCATGCGCTTCTCCGATTCAGGGCTACGCTCTCTGATAGATCACAGTAGGGGGCTCTTTACAACCGAAGATGTTGTTTGCTTAAATGATCCACTTTCTGAACTATCCTCTGTGATATGTCAAAGTATTAAACTCTTTGCGACATAAAGTCTGAACTGGAGATGTGGTTTGGTTCAACATTTCCTGGACTATCCTCTTTACTACATCGAAGTATCAACCTCTTTCTGACCTGAAGTTTGAACTAGAGATATGGTTTGGTTCAACAGTTCATTCCCTGGACTATCCTCTTTAATACATCAAAGTATCAACCTCTTTATGACCTGAAGTTTGAACTAGAGATGCGGTTTGGTTCAACAGTCCATTTCCTGGACTATCCTCTTTAATACATCAAAGTATCAACCTCTTTCTGACCTGAAGCCTGAACTAGAGATGTCGTTTGGTCACTCTATGGACTCTCCTCTCCGATACATCAGAGTATGGGTTATAAAAGCAATCGTTGATGACCTAAAAATCAGTGGTCTATGCTAGCGGAGCAATCGGGAAACTTGTTCGCGAAGAAGCACCGTTGGCGCTTCCTTTCCAGCAAACAAGATATCCCAGCTAGCATGAAGCACTGAATCATTCGGGGTTAACGCAACTTCGATGGCGCAACCAGAGGAAGACGCGGCGATGATCTAATCACGGTACGTGATTCCGCAGGTCCCGCCGTTGTCGCCGCCGCACAGTGACGCTAACACAACCTTGGCCAGCGGTTTGGAGAAAAACGATAGGAGAAACGCGCCGCTACTATTGGTGCTGGTCGGCATCCTGACTTGCGGTCTGGCGTTATATTTATCCTGGACGCAAGGCAGAAGGTTCGTACGGTCTGCAAAACCGGATCAACCAGCGTCTAACCCGATGCTAATCCTCAGGTACTACTACGACAGCGCGGCAGGTTGCGGAGCATGCTGCACCTTGGCAGGAGCCTGCAGGTCCCTGAGAAGAACCTGGACCGGGCTAGGCCTCGCAGGACTCTCGGCGCTAAGCTGCGCCGGTCTTTTACTGCTTGCCGCGAAGTCTCCTAAGGCCGGCACGCCTCTGCACGATGTCACAGCTGGAGCTCTTTGCGGAGTCTCTTTATTGGGTGCTGGGCTAGCACTGATCGCGCTTCTGGCGCCCAGATGCAACCTCGGGCGCCACAGGAGGGTGCATTCCTGGATCCCCCGTCTGTCGCCTTGACTTTGTAATCATAAGTTTCGATCTAACCGATGATCTTTGTATTTGGAACGCTGATGTACCATCGAACCTCGCGGTACCGAGCAACTTCTGCGAGAACAGCAGCGGCGTCTTCGTTCGAAACGAAGTTTCTTGTCGAGATTGTACTTCAACTTTGGCTGACCTAGCGAAAAGGATACCGCGAGGATTGATGAAGCAAGAGAATCCTAGTCTGGAAAATATGCTGTCTATGCGATAAAGAGGCGTTTATATGCGATTACAACGAAGCCAAATAAATTTCGTAGATTATATTGTACGTGTAACGTTTAGAGACGATGCTCATGATGTATGTACCTGGGCTCTCTGTATTTTGTATCGATTTGTTCAATGGCAATTAAAACAATCACTGCGACGACTGTGTCCGATTCAGTGAACCGTTCTCCTGGATTTACCATTCTTCGGTACGTCGCATAGCGTTTGATACTATAGAGGATTTCGGGGACGGAACCAATAACTGCTAAATTAATTAATTTTCGATGTAGGATCATTGATTCGTTTTCAAAGAGTATACGTAGATCTCAATCAACAAAAATATACATTTTTATTTAAACGATGAAGTTAAATTTCGTTCCACTATTTTATTAAATACAACGTTTCTTGACGATCTTATTATTGCAATTTGTTGTGATATAATCACTGTGAACAGATGTTTTGTCAGTTTACTGCTAATGGAAAAATATAGTAACTTCTTCCTAAAGTAAAATTCGTGTAGAATAATTACGGTAAAAAAATTGATCACTTTTTACTCGTCGATTGATAGATGAGTTAGCTCAGGAGTTGTTGGTTTCGTCCTCGAATCCCTTGCGGCGAATGAAACTGATATCAATGCAATGTTTAATGTTTCTAGAAGTATATAAAAGCGAACGTACTTATCGCTACCTTTCTTTAAATCGCTCTAACTAATTGTAAGTCGATAGATTATTAACACGAAAGCTTATAAGAGTATATTGTTATTTGCATAAAATTATTTACTCGTTTTGACGGTTCCACAGCGACGAGTTGATCGTAATAAAGACCAAATTAAAGCAGCAAGTACGTATTTTGTCAAATTGCACGTGATCGAGGAAACGCATCGATTTCACGCATTAAACCCTGAGTTGAAATTTCAGCAAGAAATTGGTATATTCCGCAAAAACTGTGGGCGTTTTTCACGAACTACGTTCGAGTAGTCGAGACGATTTAAATCTCGCACTTCGAATTCTTCACTTTTGTTCCGTGGAATGAAACGTTGTGCGTCGCGTTGTCCGCAGCCTACCGGATACGCTCGTTATCGCAGATTTGTAGGAAGTCCAGTTCCTTTGGCAGAATTTCATTTTCCGCGATATGCGGCACAACAAAGTATCCAACTCTTTGCGATTAAAAAGATGTTGCTTCGTGCAAGGAAAAACCGAGTCGGCCGTGCTCAGTGATAGTGGAATACGATTGTTCTTTTTGATCGGACGATGAGCGTGATAGAGGTGCTGCTTCTCGCGGTGCAGTTCTATGTCGTTTCTGGAAGGTTGGCTGTCCTCAGAAGAAATGAAAATGATCCCATACGGAGCTGGAATAAAAGAAAATTGATCTGTGTTTCGGACGACGACGGCGCGGCCCTGACATGGAACCTTGATTTGTCCGCGAGGACGCTTTCCAGCGACACCAGCAATGGTAAGTTCGACCAATGGAGAACCTCCTATGAGAAGTCCGCGGATTTTCATGCAATATCGAAATCGTCTAAGTTAATCGTAAGAAACGTAAGTCTGCTGAAAATGTCTTTCCTCTTTTAGTCACTTCAAGAAGTTACATAGAGTACAAAGATATCCTCAAAATTCGTCTAATGTCTTCACGGTTTTGTATTTGTCTCGGTCATTCTTGCCAGGGATACGTAAGATCCGCGGCCTAACGATCAGGATAGCCGACGCTTCCTTATTCCTGCCAATTTATATTGGAGCAATAAAATCAGACGAGAGTTCTGCTTCAATTTCATCGACCGCGCAACTGCGCTTTCTAATTTTCGTGGACAACAGTACCGTGGAAACCCGTTTATATGAATTCCTGAACTGCGTTCCCTTATACGAACGTGTCTCTCCAATTAAATGAACGAAAAATCATAGTCAGTGCCGGGAAACAAGCGGAATCCGATTATACGGACCGCTCGATTATGCGAGCTATCTTGTCTCCCGACAGGTTCGTATAAACGGGGTTCTACCGTATACAAAAATTCCAGCTTTCCGAAACCCGAACGAGTCGCCGGAAAAGAATTTTGTGGACTGCAAGTTGAACGTCATGAAAGATTGCACCACATCCTGGACCATCACGGACTGGAATCTGACGTACAGCGACAAGACGCTCATGGGGCCGGTGTTCGATTCTCGATGGGAAGGTTCGATTTAGCAGATCGACGAACGCGTGCGAAGGACTCAAAGTTTACGTTTCGTAGGATTCTACGAGTACGACGCGAAAGATTCGAACGGCTATCGTCAGATTCGCAAGTTAAACGGTAAGGAAGCGTTCGCAGTCTCCATTAGGGGACCGAAGGATGTCTACTTGCTAATCTGTGCGAGCAACCAACATCTCAAGGATAGTTGCTATTGGATAGTCATTGGTGGATGGAGCAACAAGAAGTCAGTATTATTTTTCGATCATTGGGAAAACATTCGTCGCGGAAGCCCTGGCAAGTATCTTTGAACAGTTCTAAAGCCCTGAATCTTTGACGACAGGTCCGCAATTAGAAAATGCGCGAAAGGCGTGCCAGAACCGTCCAAATACTCGAAGGATTCGACCTGCAATGCGTTAAGATCGTCTCACGATGTAATTTCATTGACTAATTCGAACGCGACGCGACGCCTTGATCTATCAGTCTCTAATCGCGAATTGTCACCTGTGAAACAGCACAGACCACTTAACCCGCTCGAGTGGAAGACGTTCGTCATGACTTGGGACCAGAGCACGAAGAACATTACGGTTTACGACAGCAACAGGATGATCCTGACGTTCGAAGACGCCGAATATCAATCGGACGCAAAGAATAACGATTTCATTCTGTTCCTGTGGGGCGCATCGGAGACGCTGATTCGACTTCACTCGTGTGAGCTTCGACGATCTATCGAAAAATCGTATTTCCTTGCTATCTTTGTCTCTCTCTCTCTCTCTCTCTCTGTATTTCATTGCGACCACGTCAATGAGGAAATCCGTCTCACCGTGCAGGTCTATTTCAGACAATTTCCTTCACACGACTGCGAACAACGCAGAACTGGTTAGTCCCGAGCTGGCTATAACCACTAGCAACTTCTGCATGGAAATGGCAGTTGGATTGTGCGCAGACTGCAGGCTGGATTTGTCGCTGGTGAACACTTCTACGGGAGCGATCCAGCAGGAATTAGAATTGATCACGGGAGCTGCTAGCGTTCACGGTCTCCCCACGTGGCAATACGTGAGGGTCAACAAGACGCTTTCCTCCAACCACTCGTCGGTCAAACTGAAAATGTTCACCAGTCTCAGACAAAAGTCGCAGAACCCTTTATGGGCAGTGGCGAACGTTCGCTCGTGTCCACCAGCAGGTGCGAAGATTAGTTTTAACCCATTGACTGCCAACTACGAGATATCTCGTAGTAAGCGTCTGTACCAAAACTGCCAGCTACGAGATATCTCGCAGTGGGTGCTGCGAGTTTAGATTGGCTACAATCTAGGAACTATTAGAAAGGATGAATGAAAAATGTATATAGTGTAGAGTATACATATTGACTATCGATAAAAAAAATACTGTAAATGCCATTGCAATATTATATCAGTAACTTAATATTATTATATTTTGTAAAACTTCATGTTTTCTTTCAAATAAAACCGTGGCACCCAGTGCAAGATGCGCTAAATTTGCGTGGCAGTCAATGGGTTAAGGGCTCGCAGGCTAAGGGGAGGAAGCTGTAACAGCTCGTACATGTTTCAAGCTAATTTACAAATTTGTTCGGTTAACGAAAGTTAAAATTTCTGGCGTTGACTGCTTCGCAACGTAGTTCAGTTTGAGAAAAAAACATCATTTCATTTGAAACTATATTCTCCGAGAAAATGTAAAAAGAAATGTCGAGGTTATGTCATTTTTCGAAGGTTCCTATACCTCTTTGTCGGATAAGAAATTGATCGGGATGTTTGCACAGGTTCCATACGAATGGAAAGCATAAAAGGTTCAGTGGATACTTCCGCGTATCCTTATGTTTGGCAGAGCAGCTCCTGTCAGAAACTTTTTTACAACGAGCATACCGTCGTGTACACTTTGGATGCCGTCGAAGCCGACTTGGATTTCGGTAATAATTTCATTGAAACTGCCAATCCTATTGCCGATTCAAATCCTATCCTTTCTTGACAGATGATCTAGATTGCCCAAGCGATAAAGTGGGCCCGCACTGCTCTATCAGCTGCACCAATGAGTTAGAACTCGATGAGAGTTGCAAGGACGTCATCGTCTGCGGGGAAGAGGGATGCGCTTGTAACCACGGAATCATCGGATCCCGTTGCGAAAAAAGTAGCAATTCCTGCAGCGAACATTATCAGGATGAGAACTGCAATTATTTCAGCGCCGATCGAATGATAATTACTGTTCTACTCTGGTTAACAGATTTTGTTTCGCAGCTTGCGACGAGGAGCACTACGGGCGCAATTGCGATCATACTTGCGGCTCGTGCAAGGGCAGCTGCAGTTTTCGAACCGGGGAGTGCGCGAAGGGTTGCGACAATTCAATGGGATACAAAATCCCGCCGTTTTGTCAAACAGGTAATAAGGTGAACCAACGTTCGCAGGTGATCCGAGGAATAATAAACGACTTGTTCTCCGCAGGTATCGATCCACCTCCGTCGCCGAAGATCCATTTTCTCAACAGCACAGCAGTTGGCGTTAGTATACCGCTGAAGAAAGAGTATCAACAAGTGCACTTCGACTTCCAGTTACAGGTAAGCAGTGTGCACTGTGCGTAAACGTGGTACAGTAGAAGTAGGTAGTTACAATTCTGTTGTATCAATAATTAATAATAAAAAGAATTGAGCTATCAATTTTCAATTCGGATAATCGAAGTTCTAGCGGGTTATGTCAATACGAAAAATAGTTAATGTATCTATATAATATGTAACATTATATTTAATATTATATACATAGTATAGTATAATATGATATAATATTTGATATTATATTTAATATTATATGTACAGTATAATATGATATAATATTTAATATTATATTTTATATTAAATGTATAGTATAATATAATATAATATTTAAAAAACGAAATTTGTGCCATTATGACTTTGCAGTCGCAAATCGCTTCGAAATAAAAGCTATCCGGCATGTCGCTATACTACTGATAGTCATTATTACTGGTGAAAAATAGTAGTATACAGACAGACACATTAGATTAGTGCAAAATAACGTGCCATCCTTCCGGCAATCAGAAAATATCGCTTGGACACGTGTGTCCCGCTAAGATGGAAATAATTAAAGTTGTTTTAAGATAGCCTATGCAGTTTTGTTTTGAATTCTACTCATCCTGTTTTCACTTTCATTTAATAAATACATAGTATTTCGTAAAAACCTATACAAATAATCTTCCTGTGTTCGCTAGGAAGAAAGAAACGTCGACCAATACATCGACGTAAACGCTCAAGCATCGAACAACGGCACCAATTTGACCGGCAGCAGCGGCGCCTTGCACGCTGGTTACTCGTACCGTATTCGTGTCAATTTGTCGCCGAGCGACTTTCCGATTATCCTGGGCGAATGGGAGAACTTCACGACGCCCTGCGACCGTAAGCCATTACTATGCCGCTGATTTTATACCGAGTTGTTAAACTACAAAACAATGACATAAGAGAACTTTAAGTACGCTGTTACGCTATCGCGACCGTATAAAAGATGGTCAAGTGCAAGAACGAGCGCCCATTTAACGTCGCTTCCTTAAAGATCGATGCAGCAACTTTTATTTTACATAAAGAACCTTAGTCTAAGCCATTACGATCTCGAATTATTGTCAAAGCGAGATTGACGTTTCAGCGAGCAGAAGCTTCGAGGTGGAATCGAAGAGCACTAGCTTGATACTGAAGTGGAAAGAACGAACGCCGATCTCCTGCCCGGCTGGCTGGTACAATTTCACGTTGGAGGACAGCAGGGCAGGTGACGAAATCTACGATGGATCTCTCGGCAGCCTGCCGCACGAATTTCTCGATCTGAAACCGTACACTAGCTACCTGATCAAGATCACCGGAGAACAAAAGAAGCAACGAATAGAGTACTTTCGGCAAGAAGTCGTGACTCTCGAAGCAGGTAAATAGAAACATGCGTTTATATATAATTAACGAGACGATGCTTGAAGGTGTTGTTCGCGTCGGCAGCACCGTCACAGGTGAGGAACATCAACAGCAAAGTGACGCCGGACATCGTTATTTTAACGTGGGACCCTCCTCTGACTTACAACGGGGTCCTAAGGGAGTACAAGGTCGACGTGGAGGTAACGAAGATCGCTCGGTAAAGAACCGACCGTGATCCTAATCGAATCGCAATTTTCAGACCGTCAAATATATCGGCTGCAACGATCTTGGCATAACGCCTCCGACGAAAAACGTGACACTGTTCGCCACCGACAACGCCGTGCCAGTCTACGATCTGCCACCGTACGCCGTGCACGTTGCAAAAATCTCAGCCTGCACCACGTCGTGCGGCAGCGAGCAAGAGCATCAGTTCAAGACCAACGAAGCTGGTAATCGACTATCAAATTAGACAACAAGTCATTGAGTAATCGATGCATTATCGGTCCAGAGAAACCGACCGAGACGTTCGACGACGTCAGCATGAAAGGATTCGTGCTGAAGTGGAATCGGCCGAGAGACTGCACCACGATCACCGGCAATTTGGCGGCCAGAGTGATCCTGAAGGGTATCAGCGAAGCGGTGGCGAACTGGAGCATCACGGAGAACACTAGCAATGACTCCAACACTACCAACTCCTATGTGCTCGATTTGACCGGGAAACTTTACGGCGCGGAGACGTACGAAGCGAGAATCTACGTGATCCGAAAGAAGAGCGGCCAGCACAACGAAGACGCCTATCGGAAGATAAATTTCACCACGCCAGCGAAAGGTACCAGAAGGTGGCAAGTTTCGTTAAACCTAATAACCGAGACTTTCATTGAGCAGCTCCGCCGCCGGTGCAGATGCTGGAGGCGTACGAGATCAACGAACTAACCGAAAACGACCCACCTAGCACCCAGTTCAATATAAGATGGAAACAGCCCAAGCCACCCCTCAACGGGAAGCTGCAGTATTACATTGTAAAGTTCTACAATGGCCGAACGGATATAAACGCGACAGCCCGTTGCCCTTTGTGGCCGCACTTCATCTGCGCGACGATCAACGTATCTGAAATACAAGCCGAGATTCAGGTGCGTCCCTCTAACCTTCCGGTGAGGTACGAGACCTGGTTACTATATTAACCCTTTGCAGTCGAAGCCATTTTAACTGTAAATTTCAATCAACTATTCCCATTTTATATGACAAAGTGCATTTCGTGCGTATGAAATCGAGTTTTGTGACTCGTACAACAGTCAGACTTTAAACAATTCTTTTTATATGTAAGCTTTGATAGTATAAAAATTACCATGGAACGTGGTGTAACAATTTTAGCGGTGCCTTAGAGCCACCACTCGAGTGCAAAGGGTTAATAACACGGTAACCGGTAAAAGAACGAGAAAAATGCGCCTTCCATTTCTTTTCGGACATAATTAACTTTACACTCATCGAATGAGTTATACTATATTTTTTTATACGAAGATTAACGAAATGAAGAAATAAAAAACTTTAATATATCTTATTCGATGAAAGTGAAGTCAATTATGCCCGAAGACAAACGGAAGGCACAATATTTTTATTCTTTCGTTTATTTCTTAATAAAAAAAAAACATTTAATACGCCTTTATTACGCCCGCAGACAATCGAAAGGCACAATATTTGTATTCTCTCACATCTCGTTTATTTCTTAACAAAAAGATTTAATACGTCCTATTCGATAAATGCGAAGTTAATTACGCCCGAAGAAAAACGAGAGGCACAGTAATTGGTCATGCCACAGCGACCGACTCTAGTGCCCAACCAGTTGATAAATGATAGAGCTATTTAAAGGTGTCAGCCGTGAACGAGGGCGTGAAGGAGGAAAGCGACGCAAAAACCCTCCTGGTGGACTATGATGTGGTTCGTCCTACCGCACCTAAAGTCTACCGACTCGAGGCTCTCCGTCATGGAGTCGTGCTCGCGACCTGGTCCCACCCTTGGCTGACAGTTCAACGCCTTCGGCAGTTCGTCCTAAGTGTGCGACGAACGTCGACGAGGCTCCGAACGAGTACGCAGTTGGCCAGCTTCGAGAGCGAGTATCCGGTAAAGGAGTACGAGATTCAGTACAATCATCGATTGAACCTAATGCCATCGTCCGTCTACGAAATCACCATTTTCGCCGAGACGATCCAGGGTACAATAGGCATGGAGAAGCTCGATTCTGTGGAAACTCCTTCGGCGATCGAGTTCGAGAGCGAGCCGACTGTAGAGATCCGCAACGAGAGTTCCATCGTACTGCTGCAGATCCCTGCGGTTTTGAACGACACGAGGGACAGCACGATAAACGTGATCGTTCTTCGCAACGATACGAACTCGCGAGTTTGTAACGATAACGCGGAGGCTGCTCGCATCTTCTGCGAAAAGACGCGCATCAAATGCTATGGGCCAGTGTGGTGGGCCGCCTCGTTTCCCGTAAGTATACAGGGTGTCCCAAAAATGTCTCGCAATCCGAAAGTGGCGGGATCCTAAGGTCATTTGAAGCAACTTCTTCCTTTACAAAAATTTTCTCCGAGTCACCGTTAACGAGTTATTAACGAAAAACAGTGACCAATGAGAGGCGAGATCGGCTGGCGCGAGGCGACCGAGCCAATGAGCGGAACTGGGCTTCGTACGCTGGTTGCCTGGGCCACCTCGCGTCAGTCGGGATTTTTGTCATCTGTCCGAAAATCAATTCCACAAAAATCCCGAAAATGAATTCTACTAGTCTCAGTAACTGGTCCAAAATTTTGCTATCCACCTAGGGGGACCAATTACTGAGACTAGTAGGATGGATTTCCGGACAGATCCCAAAAATCCGGAAAATGAATTCCACTAGTCTGAGTAACTGGTCCCCCTAGGTGGATAGCAAAATTTTGGACCAGTTACTGAGACTAGTAGAATTCATTTTCGGGATTTTTGTCATCTGTCCGGAAATCAATCCCACTAGTCTCAGTAACTGGTCCACCTTGGTCGATAGCAAAATTTTGGACCAGTTACTGAGACTAGTAGAATTCATTTTCGAGATTTTTGTTATCAGTCCGGAATCCGAGATTTTACCACAAGGTGCAGTAAATTCTCTCAAATTGTCCCACAGTTTGTGCATTTGACACAACGTTGACAATTTCGGAAGAGGGGATACGATTATTCGAGCGGCTCGTTTTTACAGTTGTCGACAATCGGCGACTATAATGAATAAACGAATAATCGCATCTGCTCTTCCGAAATTCTTCATTTTCCTTTACAAGCCGAGGGACAGTTCGAGAGAATGTACTGCAGCGAGACTCTCTTTTAAACAGTCGGACAAGTTCGCTGGGAAACAAACGTTCACGGTCGGCGGCGAAAAGTATCGCGACGATGCGATCAACTGCTCCCTGCAGCAAGGGGAGTCTTACGTGATCGAGGTTTCCCTGAACACCAAGTTCAGTGGCGACGATATTATATTCGCGAAACCGGTGCCAGTGCAAATGCCCGGGGTCTCGAAGGGATTCGACATGGGCTGGCTTATCCCTATCTTCGTCAGTCTTATCTTCACAATCGCGGTTTTCTATCTCTATCGAAGGTAAAGCAGTTCTTCGCGAGATGATCTCACGGCTTACGATCGCGAACTCTGAATTTTCTTGCGCAGGAAGCCGGCGACGGATGTGATTGAGCAAGATGAGATGTGCCTGACTACAAATACGGCGAGCCTCAAGAAGAAGGAACCAATTAAATCGGACCCGATTGTAACCACCACGTGTCTCACGCCTGCAGAACCGAGTCCGAAGAGCGTCACCTCGGTATACGGCGACTCTGTAGTGCTCGTTAACTCCGAAGACACTAATCAGAAGGAGAATAACAGCAGCTCCCTGGTGAAAGTGAAGGACTTCGAGGATTACGTGAAGCAAGCCATCGAGTCGGGCCTCTTGGACAATCAGTACAACGTAAGCCTTGTCAAATTATTTTGCGAACTGCTTTCACTATAGACTGAGCTGCTCTTTTTCGGAAGCCGCTGCCCAGGGGCCAGACCAAGCCGTGGGACTATGGCAAGCTGCCGCAGAACAAGCCGAAGAATCGATACGGCAACCTCATCGCCTGTGCGTACCAGCCTGCTCGATCCTCCGAATGATTTCAAGAGCCCAATGGATCATTGACAAGCTGTTTGTGAATTCCAGACGACGAGAACAGAGTCGTCCTGGAGAAGCTGCCGGACGATCCGTACTCGGATTACATCAACGCGAATTACATCAATGGATACAAGAAGGCTAATTGTTACATAGCGACGCAGGGACCGAAGCCGATCACGGTGAACGATTTCTGGCGGATGATCTGGCAAGAGGAGAGCCTGATCATTTGCATGCTCACGAACGTGATCGAGTCCGAAAAGGTACGTGCCTCTGTCGAACAATTGATTGTATTCTACGGAACCGACGAACCAATCGATCGAATTTGATAGACGAAATGCGAGCAATACTGGCCAGAAATCGGGAAGAAGAAGAAGTACGGGGAGCTGGTCGTGTTCAACGCTAAACACACCGTCTACGCCGATTACACGTTCCGCACGTTGCACCTGACTCGAGGACAAGAGACCCGGAAGGTAAAAAGTCCCTAAGATGACCCGGGAATGATTAATTATGCGATGTACATTAGTTAGAACGCGAAGAAATTCTATTAATAATTACATTTCTTTCGTTTCTTTTCTGTACATTTTCTTCTCTATTGCAACTAAGCAGATGTTTTTCTATATTTAATTTAATTTAACCTTAATTTAATCTATTTATACATATACACAGTTGAACACCGATTTTTACAATAACAGGATCAGTAAATTAGGTAGTTTATAAAGACTCGCTTTAAATGTTGTAACACTGCCTGCAAATATGTCTATCCTGTCGCTATTGTTGCTAACGAATTGAAATATCCTGTAAAAAGGGTCTACCGTATATTAATGGTTTTTTTTACTGTATAATAAATAAATAAATTTATTGCTTCCTAACTAGATCAAGCATCTGCACTATACTGCATGGCCTGATCACGGGGTGCCACTGTCCACGCACTCGGTGGTGTCTTACATGAAGAAACTGTTGGCAACGTCACCCGGAAATGGTCCAGCTGTGATCCACTGCAGCGCAGGAGTAGGCAGAACTGGAACCATAATTCTCTGCGACATATGCCTGCGAAGAGCTGCCGCAGAGGGGGTAAAGGATGCCCGGAAAATAGCCTCGAGTATACAATATTAAAGCAAAATTGGGAATTTCAGGTGGTCGACGTGTTCGCCGAGACTGTGGCTCTCAGGAACCAAAGGGCCAACATGGTGGACACGAAGCAACAGTACCTGCTAGCTCATTTGACCCTGCTCGAGTGCCTGCTCTCGATTTCTACGTCCCTGACCTGCGATCAATCCTTGCCCATGAAGATCGACGAGCTGAAGAAAGGACTGGCCATTCAGCAGAAGAGGTAACAGATGCAGATTTCGCTTTCTTAATCTCATAGTTGCGCGGAATTACGACTGAATTATTCAAGTAATTATAATTACGTAGTAAATCAATTACATTGTAATTTGTAATCCAGATCTCCATTTAATTGGATTATCAATTAATTATACAAAATATCCAGTGTTGGTGCTCGGTAGGTTTAGCGTTAAATTCCGATAAATCTAATTTACGAGAATCGGTACTAACCCCTGTTTCCCAATCGGAGACTTAATGCTGGCCTAAAGCAAAAGCTGATTCGCAGTCTAGAAAAGGCAATCTGGCAAGACGAAGCTCTCAGGCCAGCCGCCAGCAAAATAACTCTGTCGGAACGTAATCTCGCCAAGAACAGATACCCGGAATTAGCATCAGGTTCGCAATGATTTCTAACCGGATTCCCAGCCCTGACGATACGTTGACGATAGTGGTCCCTTTGCAGAGAAAATGGGCAGAGTGTATCTGAAGAGGAACCCGGCGACCGACGAGGACAGCGATTACATATCCGCGGTGTTCGTGGACGGCGTTAAAATGCGGGATCAGTACATAGCCACGCAATTGCCATTGCCGGATACGCTCGGTGATTTCTGGAGAATGGTTGCCGAGTATAAAATCGAGTTGATAGTTTCATTGCAACCACCCGACCCGGAAGACCCGGTCAGATCATTTACAAACCACGATCTTTCGCCATTTCGACCGCCGACGATTCCAATTAGCTCACGATGGATCATATTTCAGACATGTTGCCCGCTCGTTCCGAGCCCGGACTTCACGCCGGTGCCATATATAAACATCAAGACGAAGAAAACGATCGCCTCTAATTATTATTCGTCGCAGAAGCTAACACTGGTCGACAACACGCTGGTAAGTAGCTAAGCCAGTCTCGTAACGCCGAGCGTTCTGATCTTTCCTCGGCCGCAGAAGCCGGTTACGGAGCAACAAGTGACGATAGTGAGTTCGACGGAATGGAAAGCTGGCAGGTATCAAGAGCCACCGTCGACGATTGCATTGATGACAATGTGGCAAGCCACAGAGACAATTGCCAGAGGGGACGGGCCCACCGCCATCCTCTGCCAGTAAGTATGCATACCTCGCCGTCGACTTTAATACAAAATCCGGTGTACAGATTATTACACGAAAGGCGTTTCCAGCGATGCTACAACTGGTTGCGGGCTCTATCTAGCCTTAAGTGTACTGTTAGAGAGAATGGCAGTGGAACGGGAGTGCGATGTTTGCCTGGCCATTCGCTCGGTTAGGCGATCCAATCATGGTTTCGTCCAGAGTCTGGTAAGCGCGGCTATTAATATCGCGATCGAACTATCTTGTATTTAACGATGTTCTTTTTAGGAGCAAATGGAGTACCTGTACGACGCGGCGATCACATTCCTCAAATACTTCGAAACCTATGCGAACTTCACTTGAACGGATCCCGCTAAGTGGCGACGCAATCGTCATCGATCATTCGGTCCGCCCAGCAACTTGATTCGATCGAATTCAACGAACTCGGACCGGTTTTCCTAATATGTGGGTCGTTCGACCGATCAATTATACCGTTACGTAATTAACAACACGAAACTCGCGGTTTCCCCCTCCCCCTTGTTTTTCCCTTGCTTTCCACCTGCGCAAGGCAAACGACTTTCATTTCCCACGGGCGACATCGCGATTTATCATAATCATATGCAGCAATGACCTCGCTGCACGCCGATCATCCCTACCCCCACCTACCGACGCGCTGCGCTTACGTTAGACGTCTATGGATCGCATAACCGACGTCTTCGGCCTCGTTAACTGATCGTAATAACGGCTAACAGGAGCATAAAAGTTTCGCTTCGACGTACCAGCATCGATCTCAATGTGAACGCGATCGTCCACAATGCGGTACAACCATAAGCTAATTGTTAGGTTCTCGAATGAATTATTCAATTTTTTTTCTCTCGCAGCGATCATCGTCGAGATTTATCGTCGCGGAGTTCTAAGTTTCATTCTCCGAGAGGGCTGTGTTTTTCTAAAGATAGCCAGGTTTCATTTTCAGAAATAACTAAGTTTTATTTTTCAAGATTGCTAAGTGTTATTTTCAATTATAATTAAGCGATAGTTTCAGAGACAACTAAATTATACAGTCAAAGGCTAAAGTTTTCCGTTGCAATTATAGATAATTGTCCACCCGCCTGAAGAAATTTGAATTCGAACACCCGACGCTAAGGGCGCGCGAGAATCGAAAATGGCGGAGGCGAGATCTCGAAGCACGCCGCGCGGAAACGGCGGGAAATAGTTGTGCTGAAATTGTTTTATTATTATTTAAATCCTCGAAACTTCGAGAACGCGAATTATCCTGGATCGAATGTTGTATCTCGTCGGTCGACAACCTCAAATATTATTTATATATTCTTAATACAAATGATGAAACTAAATCGTGGGATTGTAGATTATTATTTAATATACAACACGCGTCTGAATTAAACCATAAGCCGCTTACGCCGTGGAATTACGACGCACGACCACAGACACTAATTTACAGACGCACGTGCACGTCCAATTCAGAGTAACACTGATCTGGTACTCACTCCGGACTCCATTTTGGTACCAGGCTCATCCGGCGGGAAGAACCCGGAAGATCTCGTTCGAATTTCCAATGCGCTCCATTTCCGTTCGAACCTTCGATCTTCTACGGTAATCTCGCAAAGGAACAGTTAAGGAACAATTAACATTCTCAACGTTAAAAATTCTTGTGACGAAGTAATTAAAAAATACGAAAACATTGAAAGCTCTATAAGCAGCACCCAAGGTGCAAGTTGACGATGTTCTTTAAAGAACGAACTGCACTTACCAGATTCCGCAGACCACAGTTACTAAGCGTATTCCCAGTCGGCGAGACAACGTCGTCGCTTCTTCGTAATTACTTTATCGTTACTTACGGCAGAATTCATTTTCAAGTAAAATCTCCGCGACTCTCCGACTCGGTCCTCCCTCCTCCAGTTCGAATAGTTCCCGAACGGCCGGCAGAGGGTGCGCGCGCGCGTCGATAACTCGCAATCTCGATAGGTATAGGTCGACCTCCTCTAAACGTCGATCTCCGCGGATATTTTCACGTGTGTTACGGTGGGATTTTGTGTGACGGTGGATCGTGTGCAGGATAATCAGAGGATTCGGCGTGCCGCAGCTGACAGGAACGGGTTTATTTATCTTCCGTCGTACGCAGCGTGGAAACAAGCAGGCTCGAGCGGTGGCCAGAAACGAACGTGCACGCTCTCTCACAGCAGCAGGTAAGAAGTTACTGGTTACGGACGTAGCTCGAGAAAAATCAGGCCGACAACCACGTGTGCACGCGTGTCACCGCGTTGCTCGAACGGCGTTCGACGGTGGCGAGCCTCCACCGCGGTCTCCTCCGTTTTTGTTTTGTGTTGACAAGATGCGGGACACGCGTGTCACACGTCTCGTTTCAAGGCCAGGGGGAAGACATATTGGCGCGTGAACCGGACCCATTGAAAACGCACACCGCCCCGAGACAATCGGTGACTCGATTTCCCCGCCCCGTTCGCGATAGCTTAGCATCGTTTCCGGTTAATTAGGCGGCGAGCTAGGATCGTCGAGTACGTTCGTCTGCGGAGTATTCGTTTACGCGTGCTGCGTCACTCGCACCCGCTTGTGTTGTTCCTTTTCTATTATATAAGGAACACGCTTCACACGAATGGACCGACGCCATCTGGTCGCGCGCGACGGCCCGCGAAATTCGAACGCCGCGCGGCCGTATCGCCGTTCCTGCGGCGATTTCCAAACAAATAATTTAGAGAACCAATTGGTTTCGTTGCGAAACGATCGGCGGAGGTGAACTTGTGGTAGATTTAGTATCGGATCGTTGAGATACGAATTTGTTAGATTAAGATAGGAGATCTCGAGATCGATTATTTTGGAGTATCGAGAGGCTTGTTAAGAGAGACTTCGACGATTAGTTTGTGTAATAAAATTATTGTTCGTCTAATGACCAGCTTCAACAATAACCTCGTGATCGCCGCACGCCATTACCCTATGAACGTTTTATAATTTAATCTGTCCTGTCCACTCATTTATCCATTCACAGATCATCTGACCGTGGCATATTTCCCTCTCGCCGGTTAATGCGCTTTAAGAACTCATTTCCTAACAATCGTCGTTCGTATTTCCGTTACGAATGAACGTGTGCCACTGTTTTTCCCCATTACGAGTCACCGAATCCCATCGTTTTTATCGCATCGATCGCTCTCCCCTGTTCCACGATACTCTATTGCCGGCGCTATTGAGGAGATGCACACGGGTCCTTGAATTTTCAGTGTCGGAAAATTTTCGGTACATCAACTCGAGCCGTTATCTCGTTATCTGATAATAGACCCGTCATCGTAAATACACGCTTGCCGCGTGTTCGTGTTTTCAGTAACGGTCGAGAAAACAAACGGAACAGTTAACGCCAATTTTTCTTTCGATACCGTTTGCTTTAATCCGTGGTGACTCGGTAATTTCGGCTGATTTTACCGCGATTTAAGATACAAAGTATATTGTCCGCCGATTTCGTTGCGCTTTTTTCTTACGGGCTGATCGAAGATGGTGCAGCCGTGCAGCAGCCACCTCATAGTTCCGCGACGCTGAGAACAGATTCGGTTCTAATTGAAAAGCGATTACGGCTCCACCGGCATAGCAACAAAGACCTTATGCTCCTTCTGTCCGCGGATCGACGTCGCACAATTGCGCCTAACTCCGACAATCGATCCGACCATGGCCCAACTTGACAGCAATTTAAAATCGCTTCTCCTCCTGCGAGTCGTACCAAGAGCACCGCAACGAGCAACGACTCTCCCACAAAGCGTCCGTCGCGGATATTCTTCCGCCTAAGCGTGATTACATTCACTGCGAGAAAGCGTCCCCTGCGGATCGTTAACGGGCTCTCGCCGTGATTGTTAATCGGCCCGTATCGATCTCGGCGCTGCGTTTCTAGGCTGGCGTGCTGCTAATCGGCGCGATATCGACAGTTAATAATCGTCGACCGAAGATCGTACGATCCCCTTGCGATCGCGACCATTCGGGCCACGTATGCCCCGACGGAAGAATCGTGATATGGTCTGCCTTTTCGATCGATCGCCCGCCCCATTGACACCTGTCGCGTCCCGCAGTCTCCGTGGAGACGAAGACTAACTAAGCAAGAAAGAAGGTTCGACGTAAAACGAAGACACCGTCTTTTCAGGGGAAATGGCGGCCGCGAAGCGTCCCAAGGAGGAGAAAGCTCAGAAGGCTAGAGGCTGGATAGCAAAGCCGATTTTAAGCTCGGAGTTCACGGATGATCCGCCGCTGGAGGACGTCTACGTGGGCATCCTCAAGCAGAAGAAAGACATTTCGACGGCGATACAAAAGATATCGGCGATTCTGCCGGGATTTAGTCATCTGAAGCGTTGCTCCTCCAACAAGCTCCTCCTGGCGCCTCCGAGACCCCCGGGATCCCCCGAGGAGCATTTGACCGAAGACGAGCTGAAGACGACGTTGAAGGAGAAAGGGTTCGATCTGGATTCGCTGGAGGACGATTTTCAAACGATAAAGGTGCCAAGTAGAGCCGCGAGGACCAAAGCTCAGGCAGTCCGAGCCTCCAAGGTCTGGCCGCTGAACTTCCATCCGGATCCCAATGTGGAGAAACTGATCGATGGATCGGTCTTCACGGAGAACCATCTGGATCTGATCGAAGGGTACATGGACGTTGCTGTGAAAGCTGCGAGATTGGAAGCTGTGGGGAACAAGATCTGCAACGGCAGCGCGGTGATCGTCGATCCAGAAGATGGGAGGATCCTCGCGATAGCAGCGTCGAGGATCGATCTGCACCCCATGTGGCACGCAGCCATGTTGGCGGTGGATCTTGTTGCGAAACTTCAAGGTGGCGGCGCTTGGAAGCTGGACGGGAATCTAGAGAAGGGCATTAATCGATCTCCGAAGATCATCGATGAAGAGGGCGCCGAGAACTATGCGGCGAGGGAGGAGTGGCTCAAGAGGAAGTACGTCGAAGAAGCTCCCTTACGGTTTCCAGAAGCCTTGTCTAGTTTACCTCTGCCGAATGAAAAACCTCTAAAGACGGCCGTAGTTCTACCTGGAAGAAGAAACAATTCGAAAGTAAACCCCGAAGATTCGGAGAAGAACTCCGAGAAGTGCGGACCCTATCTCTGCACAGGCTACTGGATCTTCTTGCTGAAGGAGCCTTGTCCCCTCTGCGCCATGGCTCTGGTGCACTCCAGGATCTCCAGGATATTCTACGGAATCGCCAACGAGACCGCGGGGGTTTTAGGCTCGAGAACGATCCTGCACAGCGTGCCGGGGTTGAATCATCGGTACCAAGTTTGGAGCGGCGTCCTGGAAGAAGAATGTCGCCAGGCCTCGCAAGAAATCGCGCGCAGAAACGTCGACTGACTCATCCTCGAGATTAATGAACGTTTTCCAGCGACTCCGCAGACACCGTTTCGTATTTCTGTAAAAGTCGTATGACGAGAGAGTATCGTCCGCGTCGTCGTTGTTCGGATGCGATTCGCTGTGCAGTCCGTTTCACGGCTGATCGAGTCGCCGATAGCGGCGACCGCGCGGGGATCCGCATCGGTGTAACGTGGATGTAACGACCGGTTTATAATTTCAATCAGAGACAGGCGGCTCAGGAGATGTTACACGTGGTTCGAACGTGCGTTCGTCCATTACGGGACAGAGATACGTAACGACCTTGGCGTCTTGGTATAATTTGCGGGAACGGAGATGTGTGTCCGGGTCCGTGGCGGTTTCCACGTGCACGAGGCAAGTTAGCACTTTACAGGCAGGCCTTTGCACAATGACGCGGTGCTCGCGGGAAATTGAGACCGCCATTCTCGCAGATTCGCCTCCTAAGACGCACGCGAACGAGAGCGTCGGAGCCCCGGGGTACGTTCGGCTTCCGGCTAACGCGGGATTCTCGAAGACGGAGCGAACACGCGATCGTTGATTAATTGGTCAAGGCGGTTCGTTAACCGTTGGCGGGCGCGCGCTTTCGCCGGCTAGAACAGTAGGGAACTTTATTTGATGTATGACGTCGATCCGCGGCCGTTGAAAGGGTTGCGACGGTGCCGGTGACCGCCTAAAACGATGATCCAAGCCGGTCGAACCCTCGACCCATCGAACGGCGGTCGCGCAAGCGAATAATCTCGTTGATGCGACGCGTCGCGTGCACGCATTCCGCGCGATGACGAGAAACAAGGCCGCCAGACGATTCTACGTGGACCGTGGTCGTTGATCTCGCTGAGAACGATACACAGCACACGTGCGCAGGTCCTACGGCTGATCGTCATCCTTCCCGCGTCTGCGATCTTTCCTGCAGAAGTCGCGGACGGTTCAATTCGCGCTGAAACGGGTAGCGCGTCTATAATAATGACCTTGCGGAATTAACTTTAATCAGCGAAACTTCAGACCTCTAAACCCGTTGCTTTGGCCCGGCTCTCTCTCCGTCGAGGAACGGATGTGCCCGCTCGTAGAACGCATGATGCACGACGAGCGCAGAGCTGGGAAGCGAGGACGATGAAAGCGAACGTTGATTGCTCGACTGCATGGATGGCGCCCCGATGTACTTGCAGCCGAATGCATCCAGCCATGCGGTGTACTCTGTCCGCGGTGGGCGTGGCTTCGTTGCTCTCAGAGACAAACCAGTGCCTCGAAGCGCCAGCTCCAATATTTCACACTCTCTAAAAATTAAACCCTGAAGAACCTTGCTCTTTCTGTATAGATCGTTCTATTCTCAGAAAAGTACTCGTTTCATAGTCAGGACCAGCGTAAATTTTATACACCCGACAAACCAACCCCGGAAGATCTCCATCCTCTGTGCGCAGACTATTCTAAGTGAGCGTGGCTTCTGTGTTCCCAGTTCGACTGGAGCTAGAACGGTGTCCCCTTCACAGCCAGATCCAGCCGCTATTTTAAATGCTCCGAAAATCAAGCACCGAAAAATCTCTCCCCCCTCCCGCGCGTAGATTGTCCCGAGTAGGCGTGGCTTCTTTGCTCCCTGAGCCATAGAAACGCCCGTCGGAGCAACCGGTCAGCAGCGTAACGACGGCACATTCGACCGACGGGAATTTGTTTAGCGCAGCCGTGACCCTGTCGCGAGGACTGTAAAGAAACATGATTTGTCGAAACGATTGGAATAAATGAACGTTGCGCGGCAGCTCGCCCGTGGAAAAGTTTCTCAGCCGACGCGAGCCGGTGTGCCTGTCCGTACATTGGTTTTGTTGTTTCAGGTTCTGCTACGGCCGGCATTAGTTAACGAATCTCCGAAGGGATCGCTACCGTGCTCCTCGTTCGACGGATCAAAGAATCTGTTCGTTCTCGTCGCGTTGCGTAATCCCACCGCAAAGCGGGCTAGAATTTCTGATCAAACACGCGCGAGGCGGAGAAGCGCTCTAGAGCAGCCGAGAGTGACAACAGTCGGTCCCCGAGCAGGCGGACACGTGGCTGCGATAACAGTAACCTGGAAGAAAGCGACGAAAAGACGGCTGAATTCAACGGGCGATCGACACCGAAGAAGGTTCGTCGGCACCCGAGCAATCTGCAGCTTCCTGTTGTTCGAGAGCGAGCGAGCGAGCGAACCAGCGAGCGCGTGCGAACCCGCGTTGCTCCCAGCGAAAAACGGCCGCGTCGGTATCAGCGGATAACATCTCCGCGATTAATTAATCCACGTGGCAAACAGACATCTGTTGCGACGCGCAAACTACGTTACGATCGAGAGACGCCGAGCGTCGTCATTCTACTCCGTCGAGATATCTAGGCGGCCGAGGGGAGTATCGGTTCGGAACTGGAACGTGAATTCGGGAAGAAACTTTCGAGCGATTAGGCCGTGTAGGAATATCGTCGTTAGCCAATTGGAGGGGGTCAGGTATTAATCAGAATCCGAATCCAGTACGTGACCGTATACAGGACGATTCTACGAGGTAAACCGAGTCACATTTTGCTCATCAGCGCTGAGTGGTTCCAATTGACGGTCGGGTCGACCCTCCAGCGTAGACACTATTGGTCAGCCTTTTAATACAAGCGGTCGCGATTGGATCAGATACCCGGATCGTTCTTAGACAGAAGACATCGCCGGAGCATTCGGCTGAAAACTTTAAACGTCGCCAGTGTCGCGCAATTTGCTGTCCGACGTCGTTCTTAAGGCCCGTGGATCCGAGAGACATCCGCCTGTCCGATTCCCATCTCAGTTGCTCGAAGTCGGTCAGCGGTGGCAGCGCGAGTTCGCGAGCATAAGCGGAGCACAGCGCAGGAAGTGACTCCATAGAGCGGTCGATGCGTTTCGACGCCCACGCAATCGATCTCGAAACGAGAATATCATCGAACGATCGTTAAACCGAGTCACGTCTCGCGAACCAACGAGATCCACCCGGCGAAGATCGCGCGTTCCTCTCTGCCGGTCTCACGGCAGTTTTCTTTTTTTATCGTGGGCACCGTTCGATAAGCCGTTCGATAAGAGATCCTCGAACAACACCTGCAGCCTCGATCGCCAATTGGATGGCCCGTTTCTACTGGTTGTTGCTCTTTGAGAGACACTGATATCGGCTAACGCCTGGCCAAACGCCGGAACCGTTTTGGAGAAAGCAAACCCGCCCGGGACAGCGCCGGAAGTTGGTTGGTTGATCTTGGAAGCGGAAGCATAGTGTCTGGTTGGCCTTCACCGAAGGGATCCGTCTCCTCTCGACGATCCGGAGGACTTTGGGAAACGTCCGGTTGCGAAACACTCATACGATTTGGTCTTACGGCGCAGAGCCTCGCCTTTCTTCCGGGACCGAGTTTCTGTTTCCATCGGCACCATGGAGCGAAGGATCCTGAAAATGTGGTGACGACGTGCCAGGCGAAGGCCTTCGATTACCAAGACACTATCAAGTGTGTGAGGCATAGTCGTTAGAAAACTAGCAAGATATTTTGTAAGTGTCCAGTGACACCCGCAGAGAGCAGCAACCATTCGCAACCGTTGACCTTACCGAGGATATACGTAAAAGCTTTCGCCAAGGGTTTACAGAGGATCGACCAGGACAGAACCGAGACCAGAGTTTCTTGCCGAAGCGACTTTTCCTACGAGTAAAGCGACTTTTACCACGACTTTCGTTTCACGGGGAGACAGACCATCGTGCCGGAAGGATCGAGGATACGTTCGACAGCAGAGCAGAGAGCGGACCGTCGTCCTTTCCCGCCGCTTCGAGTTTCGACGGAAATCGGTAACAAGATGCGTTGCAGCCAAGGTGTGGCGATGGTATTCGAGGACGCGTTCGTCGTCTTTTCGCGTTTTTTGTCCCTGAAGTCGCGGGGTTGCGCACTATTGGAAACGCATCGGCAGCGCGAGACCACTGGCATCAAGAAATTGTACAACAGCTTCTTCGTGATGTTCTAAGGATTACTCACCCGTCCGCGAAAATCTCGCTGAATTCACGGTTATTCGAGTGATGCGCCGTGCAGTCCCGGGACCTTCAGGTGGATCCAGCAAGCGGCAATTTCGGGGGCCGCGCCGGGAACGGGGAACGTGTTGGTTAGAAACGAGAAACTAGAAGAATTGTACAACCACGATATGTGTACGCGCGATTCGAACGTCGAAAGGGAAGCCAGCAAGTCTTGATGAATCCCGGAATCATCGTCGATGACCAGATCAGGGGCTGGACTTATCGCCTTCTCTTTCAACCGATACCTTACCAAACCGTTCTCCGAAGAGTCGGCCGCCGTGAACGATCCGTAACCGTGATCAGGATCGTGACGATCGATACGTTCGAAGAGCAGTGCGACGGGAAACGAACCCTGGTTCGAGTGCGTCGGGACGTTAGGGCCGTTGAATGGAGCTTCAATTCATCATGGACGGCGGCGCGGATGCTTTGAACGGGACGATATGGTTTCCCAACACGCCATCGCCCCCGTACGAGCAGCTGTCCCCGGTCCGTCCGAACAGATGCGACCCCATCGCTACTCAGCACGTAAGTCCCCATGCTCCTCTGTCTCCGATCAGCTCATTCTACGAACATGCAAAGTAGTGGTCAGAAAGATTGCGTCGATCTCCTCCGTCTTGATCGTCATTGGCTACACCTCTCTTCCGTCTAAACCCTCTCTCGTCGCCGCTAGACCGTAGCTGCCCCCGTGGAATTACTAATTGCTAGGTTCAGACCATTTAAAACCACGAGCATCTAATCCACCTCGAGACGATTAAGCGTGACGCGAGACGCAATTCTAGCCACTGCTTCGGCTCGCCGACGCTCGTCATCATCATCTTCGCGCTCGTCCGTCCTCCATTGTCTCATCCAATATGACCCCCTCCCGCCGTTGGTCCCGCGTATACCCGCGACCCGTGAACTGACAAGATGGTGATGGAACGTTTTGTAGGCATCGATGGGATATCACAGTCCGCAAAATTCTGTATGGCAGGACAAGTACAACTCACCGAAGAACTCTCCGGAGGACGGCGTCCAGATACGTTCGAACAGCGGGTCGCCGGAGCATCTCAGTCAATCCTCGGACCATGCCCCGAATTGCCAGCAAGCTGGCCTGAAACGGCGGGCCGGGGAGCCGTTGCAGCAGCTCACAGACCTCGAGAAGAAGCATCCCCGAAGAGATGGTTAGTATTCCCCTCTGCTCTGTTTCCCTTCTGCTTAGGCCGCCTCGGGTACCAATCTGTCGTTTCGCTAGCTGGAACGTTTTCAAAATGAACGAATAGGGTACATAGGTTTCGATTCGATTCCGTCTCTGCGCGCCGGAATGTTCGCAACGCTCGGTCGCGAAGTCGGCGATATCGTTCGGCTCCGCGCGTAGATCTATCGCGCGTGAGGTCGTGTCCGAATGACCCCAGATACACAGTCGTAGGCACGACAGTTTCCTCTTACCTCGATTCGGCCCAGCTGCTGCGACGAAACGGCTGATTATCCCTCACGTGCAATCGTGTAGGATCAATTCGGGGCACTGGTGTCTCTCAGGATTCGCGGGTCTTATCGCGCTTCGCTTCGTATCTCGACAAAGATCGACGCATCGATACGCGAACGAATGACGCAACATCGTTGCCGATTACGTCTAATTTCGAGTTACGATCCACGATTTCGCGACGAGGCTGCGACCGATCCGTCGAGGATATCGCGGCTGATTCTACGCCGAAGATCTGCCCGAGACTGATCTATGAAAAGCCATCGGGGCTGGTTCGATCGGCTTGTTCGACGCCTTTTCGACCACGTGGTCCCGAGAACCGATAACCGACGAGTACACAACGTATCGCGGATGAAGTCCGAATCGAAAGAAAGAGAGAGAGAGAGAGAAAGAGAGAGTGGGGGAGAGGGAGAACAACGAGAGCGATACTAGTGCTTCGCTCGAAAAAAACTAGACGGTGGTGTTACGCGTTCGCTTCGTTCCTGGTTTCGCGATTTCCACGGTTAGCGGTCGGTACCTTGTCGATTTTCGTGGTTAGGTAGAATGAAGTGGTGCGAACTCGATAGCTCCAGGCTACCGTTTCTACAGAGCCGACGATACTCACCGGTAACGTTGAAGAACAGACGCCGAGCCTCGAGCCTCCAGGACACGAAGTCGCGGATAGAGGCGATGCATCATCAGTTCTACATCAATTATGCCAACGCTCAAGGTGGTAGGAAATAGAAATCGGTTCGGGAAGATCAGATCGAACGGTCCTCTTCGTGCTTAGGCCCCGATGGGCTTCGCGATCGCCGTGGTATACATGGAACTGAATGTTTCCCGCGTTCGCAGGATCCGTCGGAAGTAACGGCTCGGGACAAGGTTGGTCTACCCAGGTGGAGGAGCTGGCGGAACACCTGGCCGCCGATTTCGATGGGTCCCTGTCGGCACTGGCAGCATCCGATCTCGCGACAGCAGTTGCCTCCTACAACATGAGGTAAATACTCTTTCACTGGCCCCGAATCTCAATCTAGATTCCACGATGTTCAACTCGTAACCACAGCTCGACGTAGAAGGGAAAGTACTCTAGAAGTCTCTAACTTAGAGTCGACAGGTGTCACGATTGAACATCCTTGAGAATCGTCTCGCGTCAGAAAAGTATTTCGTCAGGCATTTCTTTGCCCTGGAACAAGCAATGCTCTGGAATAAATTAGGTGTGGTTTACACCGCTATCTTCTTTATTAGAGTAGATCCTTGTGGCCGGACAGTGGATCTTTATGCAAAATAAAAATTGTATAAAGCAACAGTTAAATAAAAATGTATTCCTCTCTTTTAACAGGTTTAACCAATTGAAAACAATGTAACGATATGGGTAAATTCTTCTCGTGTCTTCAAACTGTTCTGTATTTTGCCATAAGTGCATAAAGTGCACTTGTGACAATAGCCTCGATTTTTCTAGTGCCAGAGCAGTGCTCCAAGGAGCAAACTTCACCCGTACCTAATCTAAACAGTTCTAGATGAGCGTGGTTTCGTTACTTCCAATTAAACCGAACCAAGACAACGTACCATGTTACATTCTTTGCCACAGCCTAGTTTAGAGTGTCCTAAATCATAGTACCTCAGCTACCCTCGATTTTAACAAAGCTAGGGCAGTTCATCAAGGTACAATCCCCGCATACGCCTGATCTAGAGTTGCCGGAGAGGGCGTGGCCTAAAGGCTCCGAATTTTAAAGCGTCGGTACACCGCTCCGAGTGGCCCGTTCTCGCGAATAAATGATCGCACGAACGTCGAAGCGCGACCAGTGGTCGATCACGAAGGAACTGAGCGCAAGAACCGAGTCGTTGCCGATAAAGTAGGTTCCCCGAATGATCCGCATCCGCGCGTGGATCGAATCCCGATTAAAACGTGCTCTCGGCGAGTAGTGGGAAAGGAGCGTGTGTCGAGCGAGCGAGAAATCCGGTTCGAACCAGACACAGTTGTCGGTGTTTCGTCGCTCGGATGGCATGCACCGCGAAATCACGCTTGGTACAGACGCGTAGACGCTTGGCGAGTGTTCGCGCGTACAGACACGTGCGCCCCGATCCTGGAGCCGATCCGAGGCGTTCCCCTGGGAGGTACACACCCGGTTCCGTTTATCCTAGAGGTCCGAGTCGCTCCAAGAATCCGCGATACCGGTCGAATCGCGGAGCCCCCGCTCGAGCAACCTCCTTGAATCTTCTTAAATGCATCCAAATAACTCGGCCGTTGCTCTCGCCGCGTTTCCGGCTCTCTTCTGCACGTGCTCCGAACGGTGCTCCCTTATCGGACTGCTCGCGCGTACCGGTCGACCGCGTCGATGCTTATCGAGCTAGTTTTTCGCGGCACTCCGCACGCCTATCGCTCTCAGCCATCTCGATCGCGATAACATCGTCGAGGAACCGCCGGCAGGTCCACTGACACCGTTCGACGATCGGAAAAATCGGCGTCGGGCCACTCACCGGAACGTTCCCCGATCGATTCCGCCCGAAAGCCGCGATCCAACTCCGCCGGATAACGCAAACGCGCGCGAGAACGCGGGCCGCGAGGTAACGCGACGCGTGGCCGGGATCAGCTGACGTTCGGCAACCACGTGGCACGGGCCACGACTTTCGATCTTCGTCCCTTCATGAATGAAAAGAGTCGGGAAACACGCGAGTCGCGAGGCGGATCCATCCGGGACCGAACCCCGAAGCCGTTCCCCAACGTGGAACCAGTTATTCTGGGCGTTTTGAGTCCGCTGCGGTGAATCACTTTCCACTTTCTAGCCGTACTTCCTATTTAGAAGCACCGCGAGCCTTGGTCCGAGCACGTGCGCGCCGAACACCCGGTGAAATTCGAACGGGATCGGTATTTTAATGTGCCGGGCGCTCGGATACGCGTTCGTCGAACAACCATGAGTGTTAGCCGGTTGAGTCGTGTGTCAGTGTAGGATTCGACCGGTCCGTGGACGGAGACCAGCATGCACCAATATCTGAAAAGTAGGTGAGTCGATGATGATGGATTCAGGTGAAATTTCATGGGAGTTCGAAGGATCGCGAGGGACAATTTCGGCGGCATCTTATCGCGCCGGTCGCGCGTTCGATACCCGCGCAGCCGGTAACCCGTTCCCTGCACCGATGAACCGGTGCGTTCTGGTTTCGGTTGACCTTAGCTACTCAATCGTTATCAAAGCGGTTCTCGAGCCGCCTCTCCCCTCCAACGTGTCTCGCTCGCTCGCGCGTTACTTGCACGATCGCGATCCGACGAACTTTTCTACTCTCTTCGGAATTTTCTGAACTTCCGAGAAAGATCTGCGGCGCGCTTCTCGTCGCGGCGTATAAGGAAATCGTCGATAACTTTTTTCCCGATGATTTACGTAAAATACGGTTTATGTAAGCGGTATCCTCGTTTCTGGTTCACGCCGGTTTTTCTGACGAGATCTATCTCTGATTCACGGGAAGACGATTGTACACAACGCCGTATACACACGCCGCCTGCTCGGAATAAAAACGAGCAGCCGTCGGCGGCGCTATCGAAACGCAACGAAAGTTCAAAGGTACACCTGAACGCGATCGTCGCCGTCACCGACTCGATTCTCCGACGCGATTTTACGCGGCCGAGTCGCGGGCGAACAGAAACCCGCTCACGTTCACGGGTGCTCCGAATAGATTATGCTCGATCGTTCCTCGACCGATTGCGTCATGGCGCCCTGATCAATAAGCAACGATAACAAAAACCGGAATCTATCGGTTATTATCGGCCGCGACTTCGATCGGAGCCCGAAATAATACGTCATCGAGCGCTCCGCCAGCGCGAGCACCGCTGCTGATTCAGGCCCTTTAAAAACTTGCCGCCGCGGCAGAAAAAGAAACTTGGAGCTCGATCAATGCTCGATCTCGCGCGAGCGCTAGGCGACCCATCGGATGCGGGAGAGAACACTGCCAAGTCTCGCGGCAGCGTAAATCCTGACATTAGTCGTCTATCAACATTGTTAAAATATTAACACGTATTTACAGACTAGCTTTATGTTTATGTATCCGTAGCTTCGTGTTTATTTACGCGTAAGCTCCGTTTTATCGTTATTCCGATGACTCAGCTTCCGTCGATCCACGCCGTTCTTTTCGACTCCTGTGTCAAAAGTGCATCGAATCGCTGACAGCAAGCGCAATGTTTATTTGCCCTGCGTAAAAGAATTTCAGGGTACTGCGGAAAGGCGTGCCGAAGAACGAACCAAAGTTTGACGATAAAAGGTTCTGCAGTTTTATAGTAAAAAAAATTCGCGAAATCACGCAACCCCCCCTCGAACAGAAATAAAAAAGTTTGTAAATTAGACGCAGGAGTACGGTGATTGGAGCAAATTTGGGTGGAAAATTATATAGAAAGTATCATTTACTTGCAGCGAAGCCCTGCTCGCCCTGCCATCGCTGACGGTATTCAAGCAGGAAGCACCATCCCCGGAGAACCAGCAAAATTCCAAGTAAGTCGTGCACCGTCTACGTGAAAACTGTTCGGCGGTTTCCTTCGCGCATTCGTTACCTTGCTCGGCTGTTTCGTAATCTCTGTACTGCGGAAGCTCATGCAAATTCATGCGCTCATAAACATGCTTGATTGTTTGAAGTTCACAATGCGGGTTAATCTTTTGGAACGATTAACTAGCAAATCTCTTGGCATGTACAAACTGGAAAAACACCTTTGTCACAGAAATAGAGAGAACGAAAGAAAGACAAAAGAAACATAGTATAAAAGAAATGGGATGGTACAAATAATAATGATAAGAATTATTTGTAATTTAATAAAAAAGCAATTATTGATAATAATAGTAATAATTAAAGTAATAATAATAACAACAGTAATAAAAATATTAATAATGATGACAATAAACGGTAATAGTAATAACAATAAATAATAATAATAATAGTATCCAAAACGAACGGAGAGAGACATTAAGATGAACAGTGTACAGCGGCCATAGAAGATAGTCGAAAAGATGGGAAAAAATTGTTAAAAAATTCACAGATGTCGCAGAAACGATTCGCCTTTAATCACAGTCTCTTTAAACGATTACACCGACCGTAGAGGGTGCGATGGTGCTCTGGAAAGAAAAAAGAGCGTTTCTCGAATAAACGCGTGGCAAAATAGAAAAATAAAACCTAGTGCTCCTTTCCCATTGGAAAAGTACAATATCAACGCCCAAGGTTCCGCAGTCCAGAGATGAGCAAAGATAATCCTCGGTCCTTTACCCCGCCCGTCATCTGCCATCCTTCCTTCGGCGCAAGGGGTTCAACGGCGAGGTCGACGTTGCGAGTCGGCCCGACGTAATTTATTAGCGTGCCGATTAACGTGTTGTCGACGGCTCAGCTAAAAATCAGTGTTGCCGAAGGAAGAGCAGAAAATCGACAGCGGAATTTGCCAGAGTGTCCCCCGCAGAGACTCGGCCCCGATAAACACGTTATCGGAGTAGCTCCTTGCGGAACTATCTGTTTAATGGCAACGCAGGTCAGATCTTCACTCTGACGAGAATCCGAGCGCGGTTATCTGACGAGACGTCATTCTGTCACTGTTGTACACACACGCACGGTCTGTTTTTCGATCCGCGAAAAACGCAATTCTCCACGAGACTCTCGCCGGCAGTCGGCGCAATTCTTCGAGCTCGCAGTATCCGCTTATCGCAGCACGGTCTCACGGATTCCGTATCGACGGGAGACTCTCGGTCTCGTCTCTTCGCGTCGCTCGAAGCGAGAAGGAGGACCTCGGGGCCACCGTATAGGCCAAGGGGGCCTCTGCACAACCGGGCTCTGTTTATCGGAAAAACTTCGATCTCCTCGTTTCAATAAGCTGAAACGAATCTGCACAGTGAAGCGCACGGCGGCGGGCGTGGCTCAGCTGCTCCGGAGCCAGGCCAATGCCCGAGAGGGCCAACGCGAAACGCGACGCCGCGCCGGTAATGGCTGAATCGTCTCTCAGAAATTGCCGCCAATTAGGAACGTAAAATCGCGAGACCCACGCGTAGCCGCGGTTCATCCTTTCCTGGAATCAGTGGAATTTCCCGGAGAGAAGTTCGCTCGCGGCGTCGATCGATCGATCGATCGGTCGAGATCCTTCGTTATCGACGATGAGACCGAATAGCTTGCATCTGATCGTCCCGCCTCCGGCGTTCCATGAATCGTAGTGAGTGAAGGACGACTGAGAACAACGGGAACAGTCTCCGTAGGTCGCGAGACTGATCGGTCTGGTTGCATCTCTGCTTCAGTTTGAACCATGTGTCCCAAAGAACGATCAATTCGGCGCCGGCGAACAATGCGAGCGGCCCTGTCGACGCTGACAGCAACAACAATGGGCAGACCACGGCCAGCCTTCATCAGTTGTTGTACTCTTCGAACGAGGAGTACCCTCCGACCTCATCGTCGGGGAACCACGTGTCCTCCCCGCAGCACGTCAGCGAGCTCAACGAGGACTACCGGTAGGTGGTGCTGTTAATGTGTCCTCCGACGCCTCGAGGACCTAAGTAAAGCTCTATATTCTCATAATTTAATTTATTTCATTGATTGGAAAATATTGTTTGCATTACAAGCGTGATATAAATAATATACATAGCGAGATCCTCGCGATGATTGTAATGATACGGTAATACAAAATGACGACAAGGCAAAATAACGAGAGTATGTGATACAAAGTAAAGAAAAAGATATTTCAGGAAAATAGGGAAAAGGAAGGCAAAATAATGCATTCAAATATATTTAAAGATGGAGTCAATATTCTTAACTACTTTTAATAGACAAAATAACAGGGCGCCTAGAAGCAACTATGGAGGTAGAAACAAATTTAAAAAAAAATAACACCTAGGACCTAGAAGAGACCGGATCAAAATGATCCCGAGTCGAAGCTCTGGTTAAAGGTAGCCTTTGATTCGCAGGTTCCAGTATGTCCTCGCCGCGGCGACCAGCATCGCGACCAAGGTCAACGAGGAGACGCTCACCTACCTGAACCAAGGCCAGTCGTACGAGATCAAGCTGAAGAAGCTGGGCGATTTGTCTGCTTATCGAGGGAAGATCCTGAAGGTACTTGATCACTTGACCATCCGTCCACGAAACACGGTCAGGTAACGCACAGTGTTTGGGTAGCGACATCTTAAAAACGTGCTGGTCTCGTACAACAGACTCGGCGGGCTCACGCTGGCATCGAAAGTGTTCCAGCTGATCCGACGAGAGCTGGAAACGATTATTCAGCGTGAGGTCGCAGATCGCTGACATTTGCAAGATGTAGATCACCCAAACGGTGCTACCACGTCTCTCTAAAGGGCCACTCGACCTTCCTGTTTCAGTCGACGATCCGCATATGCTTCCACGAGAGGCGGCTCCAATACACGGAACGCGAGCAGATGATCGCCTGGCAGCGGACCAGGCCCGGCGAACGGCTTCTGGAGGTCGACGTTCCCCTAAGTTACGGCATGGTGGACGTGTGTCAGCCGTCCCCGTCCAACAACAGCGTGGAGTTCATGTGGGACCCCACCAAGGAGGTCGGCGTCTACATAAAGGTACGGAATGCATCTTTGGATTTCAACGCTTTTGCTCTTCCGAGCAAAGAAGCTTCGAAGCGATCGGTGCTTCGATTCTTCAGCTACCATTCACTGCTTCTGCTCAAGGACAAAACTAATACCTTGCGGACCGTTCTGGTTTCAGGTGAATTGCATCAGCACCGAGTTCACGCCGAAGAAGCACGGCGGCGAGAAGGGCGTGCCATTCCGTATCCAAGTGGAGACTCGGCTGCCAGGAGGACCCCGTCTGCACGCCGGCTCCTGCCAGGTGAAGGTGTTCAAGCTGAAGGGCGCGGACCGCAAGCATAAACAGGACCGAGACAAAATACTGCGGCGACCACCGCACGAGCAGGACAAGTACCAGCCCAGCTACGACTGCACGGTCCTCTCCGACGTAAGTGGTATCTGGACGATCAACAGCAATAGATTATTGACACAGGTTTCTCCCGGATATGATTACAGATTTCTCTAGAGTCTTTATCGTCGTCCAATCTGATCGCCCAGAACGGAGGCAGCCCCTACGCTCCGACCGAGGCAATGTGAGTACCATTTATTTCCCTTTATCTATCGAATCGAGAACGTTCGTTATCACCGAGTATCGACGGTTTGTCTCGGGTGTGTCTTTTTTTTCTATCTGGATCTTTACGTAATGCATCCAGGAAACGAGCGATAATTTTTCTATGATTGTCATGAGCTTTAATCGTCGCGCGGTGTTGCGACGATCGGTTCGACGAGCGTAACGACAAACGTTCGACCGATCCGGTCGCGGCAGAACGACTTTTCGGCAATTGGCCCGTTTCGCGTTTTGAATATCTACGGCACCGCCGCCGTCACCGACGATTCTCGAGACGCATCGTAGCATTGTTCTCGCCGCGGGACCACTGTTTTCCCGCCGACGCTATTAATAGGCGCTGCCGGCGACGAATGAGAAATCGCGTGTCCTTCGTGCCGCGGAGGAAAAGAGGCGAGAGAGATTCTGGAGCGATCGAAGTGACCATTAATTCCGTTTCGCGACTCCAGGCCACGCCTCCACTTACGCTACGAGATGATCCGCGCCGATCCTCGCGGAATTCAATGACGCCCAATTTAGCGAAACTTTTTCGGAATCGTTGGTCCCGCATTTGCGACGGGCATTTGTTAATCAAGCCCGGCGATTGCTACAATTTAAGCCGCGTTTAGCGTCACGCAAGCCACGCCCCCGCTTATTACGCTTCTACGTGGATGATCAAAGTTTCGCCCCTCTCCGCGCCCCGAACCGACGCAAACGAACCCCAATTCAGCGGAACTTTAGGAACCGAGAGTCGGGCCTGCATTTGCAAGAAGACGTTCGTTAATCGAGTGCAGCGGTCGCTGTGTAATTCAAGCTGCATTTCGTGTCACGCGAAGCCACGCCCCCACTTGCGCTCGAACCACGGTGTTAACTACGATTTAGCGCCCTCCCCGCCCCCGGCGTCCTTAAATCAGCCTGCCACCTCCCCCCCGCCTCCCTCCCACGATTCAATCGGTCGCCTCGAGAAAAGCGGGGACGATTCGGAAAAGTCGGTTGCAATTCGAACCTGGCTAGAAAAAATCGGAGCCGAAGGCGCCGCCAGGTGCGATCGAAGGTATAAATCGAGCATGTTCGTCCGCGAATAAAGCGCGATCTCCCGCGCGCACCAACTTTAGACATCGGATAGCCTAAGAGCCAAAGGCGTCGGCAGTTCACGATGCAGCGGGCACCGTAGAAATGCAGTGCTGCGTTGCCGCGTCTCACCTTGGATATCCCTACACCGCGGATGAATCGCGAGTCGGCGGAGCGGTGGAGGGGGTTTCGCGCGGTGGTGGTGGCGGAATGGAGCATGTTGGCGATGGTAATGGCAATGGACGATACTGGTCTCGGCTCTCTCTCGGGAGCACGGGAACTCGTTGTAGAAGGGGTAGCTGAGGAGGTGGTCAGATGCCGGCGCGGTACGGGAGTCGCGAAACTGGCTCGAACTGGCACGAGCCGGCGTCTGGTAGAGCCGACAACGATGTGCGCCAGTTAGAGGAAGAGAGAGGGCCACGACGACGACAAATAAATTGAGAACGGCGCACGATACACGCGTCGCCGCGCAGCCGCTTCGGTTCTCTCTCTGCGTTCAATCGCGAGCCATTTGCACCGAACCGAGTCCCGTGCCGTTCGTCTTTCCGCGATAGATACCGGTGTCTTCCCCGACGAGAGACAGCACGCTCTTCTTCCGGTTCCTTCGTTCTCCTTCGACTCGCTCGCTCTCTCGCACGCACACGCACGCACGCACGCTCTCTCCCTCTCTGTCTCACCCGCCTTGGGATCGAGGGACGGGCCCGCGGAGAATATCGAGCGTCGAGCCGCACCAGTGATCCAAACGATAGTCCGCGGAAACGGTAACCAGTGATCGTCGCAGACATGATCTACCGCTGAAGAGGTCGCATGCTTAGACTCTTGTACCGGTGACCGGCGAGACTGTATCCCAAGGTGAGAGACACCCTCGACGCAATCTGTCGGTCGCTGCGACCTCAGCCGCATCCGGCCTAGAACCCAGGGATCCGGGGGACCACCAGGCCAACTGTCAAACGATCGCATCGTCCCACGTGCGTCCTCTCGTGCAACGATGCACGGAAACGAGTGCAACAACTGGTGTTAAAGCCGACTTGGTCCGCGTCCATCGACGGATTAGAGGCTCCGTCCGAGGTGAAAGAAACTGATCGCTGCATCGGCCGTGACTTTAAAAATAAATATCCGGAACACCGTTTCCCGGATACCTAGATCAAAAGAGAGAGAGAGAGAGAGAGAGAAAGAGAGAAAGAGATATAGAAAGGGGGCAGGCGGATTCTGTGCGCGAAAGAGAGCAGGAGAAAGCCGGGGAAATCGTAGACACGATCGGGGGCATCGATCTCGACCCGTGTAACAGAGATTCGCTCGGAAGATAATAATACCGGACACGCACTTTGGACCGTGCACGTGTGATGTATCAGCGATAATATTCGGCGTGGAAGGCCGCATTTCGTATACTCGTTCGACAAACTGCGATCGCGTTCTCCAGCGAAGAGGACTGGTGGTGCTCAGGACTTGTTGTTTCATCGATCGAGCGTCGTCGAGTCGAGAGTGAAGCGCCCGCACGCCGTTGGAATGCCCTCGTCCGGCGTAGAAACTCGATTTCCGGCTGTTCGTCCGCAAACCCCTCGCCGCACCGAGAGCATCCTTGATCTCGAGTCGCTGTTGCAGCACGCCGAGCAGCGCGTGCTCGCGCGCGAGTTCCTGGCCAGCCGGGTGCTCCTGTCGCGGCAGGATCACTTCATCAGATGACGAGCAGCCTGGCCGCCGGAAAGCTGATGCCAGGGCGGTTCGACTCAGCCTTGAACTGAACGTCTCCGTGAGGAACTGCCGGTTCCCTCGTTCTCCCCCCGTCTCCGCGTCTCCAGGATCGCGAAGCTTGCGTCCCAGGCTTACCAGCTCGTAATCTCGGCCGACGTAACACGATACATCTGGGAAAGTAAACCGATTTGCTCGTGCATTTTTGCCTGGGCCGTTCCGTGCCGAGTCGAGTCGAGTCGAGTCGTGCCGTTCGCGGCGTTTGGTTGGCTTCGTTTTTCAATTAGCCGTCGCGAGTGACACGGGGAAGCAAGAGGAAAATGCACTCGAGCGATCCGTCGAGTTGAACGCAAACGCGAACGCGCCACGCAGGCCGTTGCACCAGCTGCATTCCGATTGGGATCCGTTTCGCAAATGCCAGCAACCAAGCCGAAAGGGAGCACGGGCTGAGACGGAGAGCCGGCCGGGGATCGCGGCGGAATAACACGGGCCATGAAAGTGATCGATAAGAGGCGATAAGGCCTGCCGGAGGAAAGGTCGGGGGGTTCGTTATCGGCCGGGAGAATCGAATACGCGGTCTTTCTTGGCGTTTCGAATTTTACCGCGGCAATCGCGGGACGCAGCAGCCGCGACTGGAGAGATCCGGATCGGGCCGGTCGCGAGTAGGTACCAATAGCAATCCGATTCAGACCGATTGTATCCGCCGTCTACCTCCTGGCTCGGCGAATCGACGCTAACGAAGGACCGATTCGCCGCGGCAGTCGCCGATCCGCGCGCGTTACGCTGCTCGCCGGATCTCCCGGATCGAATATACGGCACTTCTGTGTCCANGATCGAGGGACGGGCCCGCGGAGAATATCGAGCGTCGAGCCGCACCAGTGATCCAAACGATAGTCCGCGGAAACGGTAACCAGTGATCGTCGCAGACATGATCTACCGCTGAAGAGGTCGCATGCTTAGACTCTTGTACCGGTGACCGGCGAGACTGTATCCCAAGGTGAGAGACACCCTCGACGCAATCTGTCGGTCGCTGCGACCTCAGCCGCATCCGGCCTAGAACCCAGGGATCCGGGGGACCACCAGGCCAACTGTCAAACGATCGCATCGTCCCACGTGCGTCCTCTCGTGCAACGATGCACGGAAACGAGTGCAACAACTGGTGTTAAAGCCGACTTGGTCCGCGTCCATCGACGGATTAGAGGCTCCGTCCGAGGTGAAAGAAACTGATCGCTGCATCGGCCGTGACTTTAAAAATAAATATCCGGAACACCGTTTCCCGGATACCTAGATCAAAAGAGAGAGAGAGAGAGAGAGAGAAAGAGAGAAAGAGATATAGAAAGGGGGCAGGCGGATTCTGTGCGCGAAAGAGAGCAGGAGAAAGCCGGGGAAATCGTAGACACGATCGGGGGCATCGATCTCGACCCGTGTAACAGAGATTCGCTCGGAAGATAATAATACCGGACACGCACTTTGGACCGTGCACGTGTGATGTATCAGCGATAATATTCGGCGTGGAAGGCCGCATTTCGTATACTCGTTCGACAAACTGCGATCGCGTTCTCCAGCGAAGAGGACTGGTGGTGCTCAGGACTTGTTGTTTCATCGATCGAGCGTCGTCGAGTCGAGAGTGAAGCGCCCGCACGCCGTTGGAATGCCCTCGTCCGGCGTAGAAACTCGATTTCCGGCTGTTCGTCCGCAAACCCCTCGCCGCACCGAGAGCATCCTTGATCTCGAGTCGCTGTTGCAGCACGCCGAGCAGCGCGTGCTCGCGCGCGAGTTCCTGGCCAGCCGGGTGCTCCTGTCGCGGCAGGATCACTTCATCAGATGACGAGCAGCCTGGCCGCCGGAAAGCTGATGCCAGGGCGGTTCGACTCAGCCTTGAACTGAACGTCTCCGTGAGGAACTGCCGGTTCCCTCGTTCTCCCCCCGTCTCCGCGTCTCCAGGATCGCGAAGCTTGCGTCCCAGGCTTACCAGCTCGTAATCTCGGCCGACGTAACACGATACATCTGGGAAAGTAAACCGATTTGCTCGTGCATTTTTGCCTGGGCCGTTCCGTGCCGAGTCGAGTCGAGTCGAGTCGTGCCGTTCGCGGCGTTTGGTTGGCTTCGTTTTTCAATTAGCCGTCGCGAGTGACACGGGGAAGCAAGAGGAAAATGCACTCGAGCGATCCGTCGAGTTGAACGCAAACGCGAACGCGCCACGCAGGCCGTTGCACCAGCTGCATTCCGATTGGGATCCGTTTCGCAAATGCCAGCAACCAAGCCGAAAGGGAGCACGGGCTGAGACGGAGAGCCGGCCGGGGATCGCGGCGGAATAACACGGGCCATGAAAGTGATCGATAAGAGGCGATAAGGCCTGCCGGAGGAAAGGTCGGGGGGTTCGTTATCGGCCGGGAGAATCGAATACGCGGTCTTTCTTGGCGTTTCGAATTTTACCGCGGCAATCGCGGGACGCAGCAGCCGCGACTGGAGAGATCCGGATCGGGCCGGTCGCGAGTAGGTACCAATAGCAATCCGATTCAGACCGATTGTATCCGCCGTCTACCTCCTGGCTCGGCGAATCGACGCTAACGAAGGACCGATTCGCCGCGGCAGTCGCCGATCCGCGCGCGTTACGCTGCTCGCCGGATCTCCCGGATCGAATATACGGCACTTCTGTGTCCAGGTTGATTCGGTGGCTCGAGATGTAGCACCGGGAAAAAGACGCGCGACCGAAAAGACCGTCGACTTCCAACAAGAACATCGTACGAATGGATGGGAAGGTAATCATCGGGGACTGCTCGAGAGTACGCACAGCCGCCGGATTGGCTGGGTTCATGAAAGAAAGAGTCAAGAGACGGAAGAAAGGCTTCGCGAGAGACACGTGCCTGCGCGCGAGATAGGATCGGCCGCGGCGTGTACGTTTCGGGAACGTAGATGGAATTCAAGCGACGCGTGCTCGAGATGCCAAAGAGCTGTCCCATTTGGAAGTTGAAGAGCTGCTGGGCCATCCGAACCACGGCCGAATATCGCGGCAATGTCTCTGCCTACCTTCTGGAGCACGAGGTAACGGTCACCGGCGGGCCCCGGCAAGTGGAAGTGGTGGCTAAGTTTATTCATTCTATTTCGGAATCCAGAGCGAGACGGGGCAATCTCGTGCGCGGCGGTTTAGTCAGCGTCACAATAAGAAAAGCCCGCGACAACAGGAGGATCGGCGACAGACGGATCTCCAAGCTGATTTTCAGGCCGAAGCGACGATCCATGTAAGATCCTTCGAAAATCGAGCGTTGGCTCGCCTGCCAATCGGATCTCGCGTGCTTATGTAACCCCGCCAATGATACGAACGGCTCTAAGGTCAACGACTAAACTACGTTGTTCGCGCGCGTTGTACACGATATCGTTCTATCGTCACGCTCAGCCAGGACCTTCTCTATGTATAGTCGTGACCACCGTAGCTGAAACAACACAGTTCTAAATAGGTCCACCCTGTAGACTAAACTGTCCGCTATTAGCCGGATCGCTTTCGTCGCGTCCCAAGGAGTTCGTTGTTAATTCGCGCGAGGCGCGAACATCAATCTCGCGGGCCGTCTGCTCCCGACAATGCGTCTCGTTAACGAATGCATTAAACTCGTTTAAAAGTTGCACGAGGTCGCGGCCGGGACCGAACAAAGGCATGATAATTGGACATGGAACCGTGTCGAATAACGTGTGCCGCGAAGGGTTCGCGAGACGTTCGCTTAAAAACTGCTCTCTTCTTGTAGATCACCCCAATCACGATCGACCATAAGCGGCAATACCTCGCCGGTGGTCGCACCGCTGGCGCTCTCGGTTTCCAATTCTGGCATCGTGCCGTTGGTTCCAGTCTCCGATGCTGTCAAAGAGAACGTGGGAACTGCACCGGCTCTGCCATCGCCTGCGGCGATTCTCCCGGACCAATCCTGCACCGAAAGCGAAGTTTGTTCTCTTCCAACGAACCATGATCGACCACGGTTATCCATCATTGCTACCTCGCTCGCGCTTGCGATACCCTATTCGGTCTTTCCAATCTTGGATCATTTTCTCATCTCGATCCTAAGATCCTCTTCTATCGACCTAATCCTGCTTCGATATTCTTCGGGACTCGTCTTTCGTTACTCTGAATCCTACTGGACCGCTCATCGACGCTAACGACTCAAAGATCCCGCGCTAATTCATGCTCTACCTCTTCAACTCTCTGCTTCAAGATTCCTGCCTATACTCGCTCTCTTCTCACTCTCTTTTTCTTCTGACTTCAATTCTCCTGGCTGTCTCTTAAGACTCATCTTTCGATACCCTGAATCGTCTCCTGCTGTCCTGCGCCAATCCACGATCTCTTCGGGTCTCCTGGCGAATTTTCCTCAAGGACCTCAAGACTCCTCTTCCCGATTGGCTGCTCGACTCGACATCTGATCACCTGATCTGCTTGCACAGGGATCATCATGCGTGGCCCAACTGTCTCCCGACGCGAACGCCGCTCAGATGAGCACGTGGCTCCGCGCGGGACGTTTCGGTGCCTTCGAGTCTACGTTCGCCAGCTTCTCAGCCGCAGACATCTTGCGGCTCTCGAGAGACGACCTGATTCAAATCTGCGGGCTGGTCGACGGGATCCGATTGTTCAACGCGTTGCACTCGAAAGCACCCGGACCGAAGCTGACCCTGTACTTCGCGCTGGAGGACAACGGGTCCCTGTGGAGGGTCGCGTACTTGGACAGTCTGACCAGCAGCGCGTTGATGAACAAGCTGCTGAACACGCTGAACTTGCCGCACGAAAGACTGCACTCGGTGCTCTTCCTCGGCCCTCAGGGCATCCACGTTCTGGTCACCGACGAGTTAGTAGCGAATATGAAAGACGAGAGCATGTATTTCGTCGAGACCATCAAAGGTAAGATGGTTCGCTTTCGGGGTCAAAGGTGTCCAAAAGCGGCGAAAAAACGTATTCCGACCGACATCGTATACTTGTCTTCGACTTTTCGATTTTTGCAATGAGACTTTGTATATGAGATCTTATTAGCAAGGTATTATAGTTGCAGAATCTATTTCTAAACAAGAATATAATTACAAGATGAACATATTGAGTGTGTACACGTGTCAGACCAATGAACAACTCACGAACGACTAATTTGCAACTGACGCAACTGCAAGTTATCAACAAGTAAAAAAAACATATGAATTTCGCGAAACTAAGTTGAGATTATTTGATGATATTCTGGATATCTTGTACGGTGATAAAAGCGAGATTTGAATGAAGAAAGTTAATTCCAGTATTCGCACTTAACTGCAGCGATAGAATTAATTAATAAAATATATAGTTTTATAGTTTAATTATATAAATGTATTTTGTATATAGTTTTATAGTTTAGTTTTCATAGCTTAGACTTATGCAGTTTTTTCGTTTAATTTCGAAGGCACCTATGGAACAGGATTTTTTGCCGCTTTTGGGTGTCGCTTGCCTCATAATGTGACGTTTCGTTCCTCGGGGACCGCAGCACTAACGAAGTTACTTCTCTCTGTTGCAGATAACGCGAGCGAGCGTTACAAGCTCCTGCTAAAGCCCTCGTCGCGTTCCTAATTGAGTTATAGAATTTTCCTATGAGTCTCACATTGCCAAATGTATCTGTGATTCGAAAAGGAAGGAAAGAAATTTCTTTGCCAGGGAAAAGCGTGTCGAGTAAGCGCACAGAAATCCGCTCGATCGGCGTTTTCGTTATTGCGATAATGTCGCGACGGTATGGGAAACAAGAAAAATTTCACTTAATACTCATTACAAGCTTTCGGCATGGTTATTTTTACGACGGTGAACAAGCGCGACGACCTTCCAGAGGAACACGTATTCTATTACGTATTACATATACGTTTCGTATGTATTACTTTTTCCACTAAGCTCGGTCTACTTTCTTTCGTAGGGTGTAAGCGAAACATTAGGTTGACAAGGTGTATTTAGGAAATATTTATACCGCGGTTACTCAATTCTTGTGCCACATAGTCGACTCAGCGAGCTTAGTTTACGAACTTATTGTTGTTGTTAACTATTATTCACCGGAGGCCGCGACCCGATCGTCGCTAGTTCATGTTACATCGATCGGCGACCCTGCCCCGGTGAATACGATCTCCGTTTACACAAAGTGTAAATTATTCATTGTTTCTACAGATTATAAACGATGTTGCGTAGACGTGTAAAGCGGCGAACGGAATCGCGGCTGACAGCAGCGCGCGACCGTAAACGGCGCTTCGATGATAATTAGGAGAGAACGATCGATAGAGAAGCCACAAGTGCCTTGCGTTCCTTTCGTCGACGGCGAACCGATAGGACTTATCTTTAATTACCGCTTTTGACAATTATCTCGGGGGAAAATTACGGGAACGATTATCGAGAAGGAAGGGAAAAGGTGTCTCTCTCGGTTTATTCTGCTCCGTAGTACAAATCGCAGGGGTACGAAAAAAAAAATCATCCTCGTGAAAGAGGTTCTGGGAAAACTCGTATGAAGTATTATAAATCTATTTACCAAATGTTAAGTCGTAAGTTAGGATCGGCCGGCGGTCACGCGACACGCGCGCGACGACTCTAAAAGCCCGTTTCTCATCGGACCGGAAAACAATTCTATTGGTCGCCACGTTCGCGGTACAGCTGGCCGACGTCTATGTATTTTAATCGGAAACGGAAGTTCGATCGCGTGAACTGCATGCTGTATAATTTCACTAGGGAACTTCCACGTATGCCATGTACGTCACAAAGCGGCACAATAAATACTGCTCCGGTGCCAAGCGGCGCGTGTTTGTCTTTTTTTTTTCTTTTTCATGGAACCGTCGAATAAACAGGATATTTACTCATAAATAGATTCTTTTATTTAACAAAATAGAATAAATCGGTAATAAAATTGTCCCGCGCCGTGCGCCAAGAGCGAGCATCCTCGAAACAATGCGGCGCGTGCCCGTAGCGAGTAGAAACACGCGTTGGCCTGTAGATCTTCCACCCGCGACTTCTCTCGGCTCCCCTACTTCTTCTTCTTCAGCTGTTTCTGCCTCTTCTTTTCCTCCCTCTTCGCTTCCCGCTCGGACAGGCACTTGAACAGCTTGTAGACGAAGAACACTGCAATCACAAGAACGACCGGCCCGTTTAATCAACCTTGACGCGACAGTTTCGATCCGGGGGCGAAACGGAGCTGAGAACCGAACCCGGTCCAAGGCGACCGCACGTACCGATAACCATGGTTATCAGCAAAACCGCGAAAATGAAAATCTTGTACGAATGAGGGATCAGAATCGAGGCGCTCTCTTCGGCGTGTATTCCCCGCTGCACGGACTGCTCGAGCTTTCCGAACACAGTGTCGACGAACTGCTGTTTCTCCTCGGCGTCCAACGTCTTAAATTTCTCGAAGAGTTCGAGCAGCTTGCCCTTGGCTGCGGCCGGCAACAATTGCGACAATCTCTCCTGAAGGCCGTCGGTCATCACGCCTTTGCTCTTCAGAGCGTTCAACACATGCTCCATGTTCCTGCTAGACCTCGCGCGGACTTTTCGAAGAGACTCTAGAGACTGATGCTCCACCGAGGAGGTGCAAAGATTATTAATGACTGTTGACGGGTGCCGGTTAAGTGGACGATTAGATAACAGGTAGCCGCCACCGTTTGTCGGCGCGGATTTACCAAGCAATTATGCAACGCTGCTGACCAACCGAAAATTCTGCTCGACAAGCGTTCGGTAAACAGCCGATAAAACCAGGTCGAAAGAGGAATTTGCCCTAACTAAGCTGCGTCGCCTGGCACGCGACCTGTCGCCGGACGGATATTTACCGAAAATTAGGGCGACCAAGCCGAGCAGCGACAACAGGACTATAGTCTGCATAGTCAAGTCGTTTCCGCCTAGCGCATCCGTGCTCGGCCCTCGCAGACCTCCTAGCAACTCGGCCCTGATACTGTTCTTCTCCTCCTCGGACAGCCCTGTCATCGAATCTAGCATCTCGAGCAGCTGGTCCGCGGTCGGTAGTTGTTTGTCGAACCCGGGAACCCCGGTAGGGTCCACAGAGTCCTCGACAGTGACTTCCGGTGAGTCGTCCTCCGCGGACGCCGCCACCTGGAGACCGCTCGCCAGTGTCATCCACATCCTGATTAGAAACACCGTCCGATTACACGAGATTTCGAGACCGAGACCGTTTCAAAGACCGATCGCTGCGAAACCAATGATTAGATAACGCATTAGATAACGCTATTTTCGTTCGCACTGGCACTATTGTCGCCGTATGCCTCTTCCAGAGAACAACGATCGACCCGTGGATCCAATTGTCCCAGAGCAGAGGCATCTCTTATCCCGTTGTTTGCCCGGAATTGCTCCTTATCGGGCGATCTCGATATCAGATGCTGTACTTTGCGAAAAGACAAACAACGATCTAGAAACGTGTCCGGTGGCATCGACGAACTAATTTCTTCGCGACGAGGTGGTTTAGCTGATCGTTTATCTAGAGTCCCTCTCATCGCGCGATCTGGACGTCGAATTTCTACCCTAAGCTGAGTACGCTTTTCTCTTGCAAAACGAACGAAGATCGCGTGATATTGTACTTCGTCGGCGGACTGATCTTTTCGCGACAAGAGGTGGTTTTACTTGTTTCCAGAATTCTCTTCGTCTGGACAACAAAAAACGATGCTATTTGCCGTATGCTTCTACGCAGAAGGAACAAGAACGAGCAATAATGCCAGCACGGTATCGTTACATTGATTTCTCCGCGTCCGAGAGTCTTACTCTATCATTTAGGCCCTTGTCTCGATATCGTAAACTGAGTCACTGTCGTACCTGGTCGATCAAATAGTCGGTAAAATACAGTCCGTGGGGCCGCACACGACGGAAACGATCCACTTCTGAGGAAGATGATCGATCACTGGAAAGATCACTCGTGTTTCGCGCGAAGATAAACGTCGGGCTGATACACGGCCACCGATTGGCCGCCTCGGCAGCTGGTTCTTATCTCATTGGCGGGTGTGCAGCGTCGGGCCAACGTGGCCTCTTCCAACGTGTTCGTCGGACGGCCACGAATCGGCCAGACAACCTACGTTACATGACCTTTACAACGTGTAGAGCGAACAGCGCGTTAGGCAGGCGCGTTACGCGCATCCTCGTGCGTTTGTATCGGAGAGAGCCAGACGCCACGTTACCCTAATTGCTAACTCAGCTATGAACGGTCGAAGCTGTCCCCCAGGTTCAAGATTATTTTCATCGGACCTTGGTTCGACGCAGAAGCGAGCTACGCGGCTCGTTAAGACGACGAAGCGTCGCTAATTCGGTGCAGAACCGTCCGACGACTCTCTTTTTCCAGACATTTCGCCTAACCGCCCGTCGTTTCGGGGTACTTTCACTTGGACTTTCTTAACGGACGAACGACTCGTCGGCGAGAGAAATCTTGCGATTGATAATCCGCGGCAGCTCTGTTAAAAGACTTCGCGAGGCTTTCGTTCTTTCCCTGATCCCGAATACCAAGCTTATCAGCCTGTGTCCATGAATGCGGATCACGTGCTCGGGTGCTTGACCTAATCGACTGAACCTGTTGCCTCGGAGCACTTGTCGTCGCACAGTGCCGGTCGGCGATTTTCAAAAGAATTCGCACGTTTTTTCTGAATGAAACTCGGGGGGAACGTTGGCGAGAAGAAAAATCCTGGATAGAGTATAGATCGCGGATGATGGACGAGGCCTTGAAATAGAAGATGCGACAGTGTTACAAGGCCCGGATGGGAAACAATATGTTTTGGAGAAGCCGTTATGCGAGCGTCGAATGATAAGGCGCCGCGGTTTTATCTGGACGTTTTCTTACCGGCAAGACCGACGACGACAATCCCAGGGACCACGAAGACGACATTGTTGACGCTGTACTCGAACGGGCCGTCGCTGAGATCCACCATCTTCCAGCACGAGCGACTTTCAACGAATTTTAAGGACAGAGGTACGGCGTTGAAGCTGACCACACTAAACAGGTGTTCACGGGAACGCCATCTATGAAACGATCCACGTCGGGAACACCCGTTTTGGAAACCGTTAGGCCTTCGAAAACTTCGGGAAAAGGATCATCGGGTGTAATTTTTGAAAATTATCTGCTACGCTGTGATGTCTGTCAAATATTTGCGCAGCTGTATTTCCTGCACGCAAATAAACTGCTCATGGGGGTGGGAGGGGAGGGTTTAGCAACGTCTTATCGTGGGAACATTGATTTTTATATTTTTAGGGGGCAATAATGGGTATTTTAAGAAACCTGCAAAATTCTGGTTGCTTTGAATTAATTTGGGAGTTTAGTACGGCCGTGGAAAATAAGTAGGAAAGAGTTATAATCTCGGGCTGCCGAGGGCCACGCAGTTGGTGGTGGGAATTGGAACTAAAAATTTGTGGACAAAAAGCTTATCACCGAATCTACTATCCAATAATTTAAAGTATCTGAGATTTAAAAAAAAAACTAGCGAAAAGTATGCATAATGAAACATGCACGTCTACGTGTTTTTAATTCTTAGTAACGCTACTTGTCAGTAGCGTACTTAACGTCGAATTATTCTAACTCATTCTCGTGATAAGATTGGTGTTAGAATACAGAGAATTAGTGATTCATATTATTGATTGGCTCTTTCAACGTAAAGAACGTTAATTAAATATAGATTAACTAGTAATTTGGGCTGGTTTGGCATAACAGGACTTGCTCGTCGATTATAACAGGGCACAATGTTTATAACAATATTCCATAATTATATTTTAGTACTGAATAAAATTTGAACATTAACGTTTAAGAATAATCAATTAAAATGATAGTAATTATTGATCGTACACGAAAGGGTAGAAAAGGAAGGTTCAAATTCCGCGGGCCGGATGCAGGAATATTTACTTGTGCCAAAGTTACTCAGAAAAACATTATCTTTAATGTATGAAAATATGTATATTTAAAAGTATAATTATCATTGAATCTTTCACACTAATTTCTACTTTAATCTGTTAAAAACTTAAAATAGTTGGAAACTTACAGATGTTCAACTAATTCTCATGGTACCACATCTGTGAGAAAACCGCGGGAACAGAAGCCGATTACGAGGAAGACCGTTGCTCTTCGTTCTCACAGTCTGCTAGCAAACGTTGTGTGGAAAGGTTGAAAAGGTTCAAGATGCCGACAATGAACAGTTCGAACGTGCTGAAATTCGCAAAGCTGACTGACAAAGCTTTTGCTCCTATGAGAGGATCGAAACATGCAGCCGGTTACGACTTAAGAAGGTACGTAGGTTATACTTAAGGGACGGTGGTGCGAATGGTTTGGTTAACGCTTTCCTTGAATTTTTCAGTGCTTACGAATACACTGTACCAGCAAAGGGGAAAGAATTAGTGAAAACAGACTTACAAATCTCAGTTCCTGAAGGCACTTATGGGAGGATTGCTCCACGATCCGGTCTGGCATGGAAAAATCATATCGACGTTGGCGCTGGCGTCATCGATGTTGATTACCGGTAAGTTGTTTAATAATTAGTTCCAGAGAAATTGGCTAATTCGCAAAAGCAAATGTTCGTTAAGGCTGTAGAATAATTATACAAGTGATCACTTGAATATCTAAAGCGGTTGTTGCGTGAAAGGGTTGAAAGAATGGCGTGATCTGGTATAGGACGACTGTGCACGTGTGCGTTAAATTGTTATCGATTATTTTAAATATTTTTTCTTTTAATACAGGGGAAACGTGGGGGTTGTGCTGTTTAACCTTAGTAATGAGGACTTTAAGATCTCTCCGGGGGACCGTGTTGCACAATTGATTTGCGAAAAAATTACTTATCCTGAATTGCAGGAATTACAGACTTTAGATGATACAGAGAGAGGGGAAGGTGGTTTTGGTTCTACAGGAAAGAACTGAGTTGATAGATCTGCTTTGTTTTGTTCTTAAGTGTCTGGTTTGTTTGCATACTTATATCTTTGCCTAAAGAGTATTACTATTTTAATAATAAAAAAGTACCAAAAATCCATATTTATAATGCAATACTTAATTATTGTACAGATACTATAAAAATATTGAGCTTATGGGCCTCGAGGGCTGATTATGACATTATGACACAATAAAATATTTACTATTAGCAGTTCACAATTTGGGCACAAGTCCTGTGGGCAATGTTGGTTGTTTCACCAGCTTTTGTATATTTTTGAACTCCTTGTGATCCGCACCTCCCAGTAGCTTGAAGATCACATTCTCTGAGGTAGTTATGTGGCATCCAATTCCTCTCATCCTCTGTAAACCAGCAGGAAATTAATTTAGCATTCACTCTCTAGGATAATAACAATTTATAAATTCCTCTACCTCCAAAGCCAATATTCTGTCCTCTTGGGTACGCGAAGTGCAACAGTCTGCTACAGTGTGGACCTCGAATCCACTCTGTCTCAAGTCTATCGCTGTGTTCTCTATGCACACATGGGTTTCCAAACCTATCAGGATAATTGCTTCTGGCTTATTTCCACAACACAGTGTATTTAGTTCCTTGTTTATCTGTTAAGATCAACGAAAAATATTATAAGAACCATCAGAGTGAGTACACAAATATTTGATCATGTTTACTCACTTCTGGTGTGCACATGCTAAAATTCGTCTTCGCAAATGGCCCTTTGGCACCGGAAATGTCGAATTCGGGGATGGTCTTGCCCAGTGCCTTGGGATTCTGCTCGGACACCAGCACCGGTATCTCCAGGAGCTTCAACGCGTTTATCTGCACACAGAGCACACGTTAACCTAACAAAGATAACATTGAAACAAGCACAATGCACGCTATGGAATAATTCTAAAAATTCCACGTCAAGGGTAAGACCCGTAAGCAAGGTAAACGGTTCGCGGGTGATATTTTTTTAAGCGTTCTGCTGAATACTCTTGGGGTAATGAAAAGAATGCCATCCAGTGTGCACACAAACTTATCAGATAACCTTCAAAGTTAAGTATAGAAGCATACGATGGTACGTGTACGCGTCGCTGGATTTCCCATATTTACCAGTTTCGTCGAGTTCACCGTGATCTTGTCGAAATCGAACATCACCTTGGCGAACTTCTCCTGGACATCGCAGATCAACAACGCGGTCTGCCTCTGTTTGAGAACCGCCCTGGCAGCGTTCATTGCCATTATTACCGTCGGAACGCCCTTGGAACACGAAAAATCAACGTCGATGGATCCTCTTCCAGGAACCTGGACCACGGTCGACGAGGTCACCGGCGCAATGGCCACGAATTTCCACCCTAGCAGCTAACTGGTTCCCGCTGTGTGACGCACGTGATATATTTCTGCGATACTCAAAGTTCACGGTCAGTCGTGGCTCGACTAACTTTAGATATGTGTTACACTTAATCGATTTTGCAACGTCCCCACTCGGCGACGAGCGATATAATTGACCGTGGAATGGTACGCAATAATTGTTTGTTTATTTAGGCCATGAGAGACCACCCTTAGCCGGCCAGGAGTCGCCCCAGCTCATGAAAACACCCCAAAAAACCGGGACCGGTACGGCAGAGGATAGTCGTATCATCGGCAAGATCGAGAGAAACTGGTTTCCACGTGGACGAAGGTACTAGAAAGGATTCTATTGTATGCCGCTTTCGGCTTTCTGGCAAGATGCCGGACAACGTTCTAGACCTCTAGCAATGGAGCTTTTCTCTATAGGCAAGGAAGATGTTCCCAGGATGACCGTTACAATCCAATTGCTCTAAGGCTCGAGCAAGAAATTAGAACGAGCCAAGAGGTAGAATCGTACGGCTAGATCTAGATATCGCTATCATCTACGAGAAATTCCCAGTGCCGTAGCAATGGTGCTGCGGACCACGCTCGCTCGAGGTTTCGGCGACGACAGGATGTTTCCTGCAAATAGGACAGTCGGTTGAATCGAGGCAGCGGCGGCGGAACCGGAGCTCTCTCTCGCTCTTTTTCTCTCTTTCTCCGGAATAAAACGCGCGAGCGAGTTTTTCGAAGTTTTCCGTGCTGCGAGTCGGGTGATTTGAATCATCGACTTGCCTGGCGCGTGCGTGTTGCCGCAGCGTCCCAGGTGCTACAGTGTACTCGGACGTGGGCAGTTACGCACAAGCACATAGAGCGGCGGCACGGCGGCAGCTCGCAGACGGCAGTCAAACAATGCTGTTTCGACTGGTCGGATGTACGGGTACCATTTAAGTTCGCCAAGCTGAGAGATCCGAGAGAGAGAGAGAAAGATTGATCGTCCGGCCAGAGTCGGTGCGACGATGATTCGCGTGCGGTTCATCGGCTGAGGAATCGCAGCAGGCGCTCTAAGGATACCACCGAGTCGACGAGAGAACGCTAGCACAGCTCCCCGTCGTCCCCCGACGAGGAACGATCGTCGGGCTTTACCTGGTGTGGTTTCCGTGGCTAGCCGAAATTGTAAACAAAGAATGGCCGTGGAGCCTCGCGAGGCCGGGCACACGAAGCCGCTGGTGCAGCTTTTTCCGAAAGCCGCGGAGTGCGTGTACACGAGTTGCTACTGGTAAGTGGACCAACCGGCGAACCGAAAGACCTCCGACAATTCCGCCGACAGATCGTATATCGATTCGAGCGAACAAACGCGTGCCGTACTGCGGTATCCATCCCGGTTGACGGATCGATACGTTGCTGCAGTGGTAGAGAGACGGCAGTGCGATATGCTGCCGCCATCTTTGAAACGGCATAAAATACCTACGAATCAACGCGCACCGTTTCCCCACAGCTCGGCTTTCAAATGTCCCGCGCGCCATTCATCTGTCTGTCTCTTCCTCCCTTTCTCTCTTTTCCACTCTCGTTGTGCCTGTGCTAGCGAACCCACCACCGTCGCCCACCCCCGCCACGTTATCGTGGCGAGAACACACGGTCGTACGCGGCACGTCCGATTAATAATGCATGCTGCCATCGGATTATTCTCGCACGGCACGATAGAGCACAAACAGCACGCCGCGCCGGCCACAGCTGTATATCTAAATCGCCCCGCCACCGATATCCAGGCCCCTCATTAACATCCGACGTTCCGCAAAGCTTTCGACGTGCTCGTTTCACCGTGCGTGTCACCGATCATCCGTGTGCCACAATATTTCCATGCCGCTCGCTTCGTGCAGATGTTCGCTTGCATATTGCGTTTCACCTGCGTTCACCACACAGGCCTGCGAACACCTCCGTTTCCGGAGAACGCCGGCAAGAAGATTCTTCTCGCGCTTTCTGCCTCGACGGAAGGATCGTTCTTCGTCGGTGTACTCGCGGCCATCCTTTCATCGCGTCGCGCTTCGCACCTGCTAACCGGCCGATCTTTCAGCCGTACCCAAATTCTGGGCCAGCAGACTGAGAACCCTCTGTCCCAGATTATGGTACTTTGCACCGTCCCGGAAATCCCGGATATTGCTACGTCGAGATAACGTCTTTATGGGAAAGATGATTCAAGCGTTGCTTAGAATCGATCTGAGAAAAAGGAGCAATCAAGGGCGAGTTCGAAGGGCAGCACATCGTACTTCGACTCATTTGCATTGTAAATTCTCCCTAATCGACGCTCAGCTTGTATAGAAAAAATGGACAATCTGAGAATAATCGTACCTCCTCTTCCCAAATTGTCCATTTTTGTTTCCAAGCTGAGCGTCGATTTGGGAGAATTTACTGTAATCCGCGTACGATGATTGTCAATTGTTACTATTTGATCAACTGTTACTGGATTTTTTAACTATCACGACGTAGAGACTGCGATGCTGGGTTTACATTGCAACAATGTCATAAACATGTGCACACCATGCGGTATATTGCATCACCGACGATAGTTCATGATCATAGCGCGCGGGTTATTCCGCATGTGGATGTAACTGGGTTTTACACTGAACCTACCAAGCAGTGACTGGCGTGCATTGCTTCATAAAAAAGAATTTCGAATTGAGTTAGAGATTCTTTAGAGTCTTTTTTTTATTATAAGACATGCTCCGATAATTGAAATTCAATCATTTATCGCGATAGAGTCGCTAAAGTTTGTAGAATTTTAAGGTGTGCACCGATAAGAATTTAAGGATATTCATGTATTATTTTCGACTAACTAAAATGATTTTAAAAAACGCAGAAATATCTGTTTGGCAACCGACGAATATTATTTTTATTTCGCATAAAGAACCGCAGTCTTTTAGCTTTGCAACGCGAAGGGTTCGTCCCGTTGAAACATTGAAAATATAAGAAGAAAATAAATCGCGTAGAATTAGATGAGATCGAGGATCGAAAGATAGCGATGAGGTTCGCTGAAACGAACGCGCAGAGAAGTTACCATAATTCGGGACAAGTGGCGAGGAGGGCGTGAAATGAGGGACGAAGTTCAGCAGTTTCTGGCCCCGCTGAGCAAGGGTCTCGTGTAATTCCAGCGAGGAGAATGTGTGGAAGCTGTGTCAGGATGTAGCGACGAGGCACGGATCGGAATTACAGCATTGCTATGTCGCGTTCGTGAGCAACCCCTGGCGTAGCGTTCCACTTTGGCGGCAACGGGCCGGGAAGGACGAGGACAAGCTCGTGGTTTGGGTCAGTCTGATCGTTGAAACATTGCTCGTGCTTCTTCGACGATGTCTCGGGATGGCCCGACGAACCAACAACGTGTTTCTCTGTTCTATGCGTAGGACTACCACGTAATCCTAATCTACGCACCCGACGAAAGGGCGGTCGTGTACGATTTAGATAGCGCGTTGCCGTTTCCGACGCATTTTTGGAAATACGCGATGGAAACGTACCGGTCGGACGACGTGGTGCAACCGCAGCATCACAGGAGGTTCAGGGTGGTGCCAGCCAGCGTGTATTTACGAGAGTTCGCGTCCGATCGGCATCACATGAAACGCGAGGACGGCACATGGATCAAGACGNAATATTTCCATGCCGCTCGCTTCGTGCAGATGTTCGCTTGCATATTGCGTTTCACCTGCGTTCACCACACAGGCCTGCGAACACCTCCGTTTCCGGAGAACGCCGGCAAGAAGATTCTTCTCGCGCTTTCTGCCTCGACGGAAGGATCGTTCTTCGTCGGTGTACTCGCGGCCATCCTTTCATCGCGTCGCGCTTCGCACCTGCTAACCGGCCGATCTTTCAGCCGTACCCAAATTCTGGGCCAGCAGACTGAGAACCCTCTGTCCCAGATTATGGTACTTTGCACCGTCCCGGAAATCCCGGATATTGCTACGTCGAGATAACGTCTTTATGGGAAAGATGATTCAAGCGTTGCTTAGAATCGATCTGAGAAAAAGGAGCAATCAAGGGCGAGTTCGAAGGGCAGCACATCGTACTTCGACTCATTTGCATTGTAAATTCTCCCTAATCGACGCTCAGCTTGTATAGAAAAAATGGACAATCTGAGAATAATCGTACCTCCTCTTCCCAAATTGTCCATTTTTGTTTCCAAGCTGAGCGTCGATTTGGGAGAATTTACTGTAATCCGCGTACGATGATTGTCAATTGTTACTATTTGATCAACTGTTACTGGATTTTTTAACTATCACGACGTAGAGACTGCGATGCTGGGTTTACATTGCAACAATGTCATAAACATGTGCACACCATGCGGTATATTGCATCACCGACGATAGTTCATGATCATAGCGCGCGGGTTATTCCGCATGTGGATGTAACTGGGTTTTACACTGAACCTACCAAGCAGTGACTGGCGTGCATTGCTTCATAAAAAAGAATTTCGAATTGAGTTAGAGATTCTTTAGAGTCTTTTTTTTATTATAAGACATGCTCCGATAATTGAAATTCAATCATTTATCGCGATAGAGTCGCTAAAGTTTGTAGAATTTTAAGGTGTGCACCGATAAGAATTTAAGGATATTCATGTATTATTTTCGACTAACTAAAATGATTTTAAAAAACGCAGAAATATCTGTTTGGCAACCGACGAATATTATTTTTATTTCGCATAAAGAACCGCAGTCTTTTAGCTTTGCAACGCGAAGGGTTCGTCCCGTTGAAACATTGAAAATATAAGAAGAAAATAAATCGCGTAGAATTAGATGAGATCGAGGATCGAAAGATAGCGATGAGGTTCGCTGAAACGAACGCGCAGAGAAGTTACCATAATTCGGGACAAGTGGCGAGGAGGGCGTGAAATGAGGGACGAAGTTCAGCAGTTTCTGGCCCCGCTGAGCAAGGGTCTCGTGTAATTCCAGCGAGGAGAATGTGTGGAAGCTGTGTCAGGATGTAGCGACGAGGCACGGATCGGAATTACAGCATTGCTATGTCGCGTTCGTGAGCAACCCCTGGCGTAGCGTTCCACTTTGGCGGCAACGGGCCGGGAAGGACGAGGACAAGCTCGTGGTTTGGGTCAGTCTGATCGTTGAAACATTGCTCGTGCTTCTTCGACGATGTCTCGGGATGGCCCGACGAACCAACAACGTGTTTCTCTGTTCTATGCGTAGGACTACCACGTAATCCTAATCTACGCACCCGACGAAAGGGCGGTCGTGTACGATTTAGATAGCGCGTTGCCGTTTCCGACGCATTTTTGGAAATACGCGATGGAAACGTACCGGTCGGACGACGTGGTGCAACCGCAGCATCACAGGAGGTTCAGGGTGGTGCCAGCCAGCGTGTATTTACGAGAGTTCGCGTCCGATCGGCATCACATGAAACGCGAGGACGGCACATGGATCAAGACGCCGCCGGATTACCCGCCGATCTCAACACAAAGTACGTTTCATGGGCCCCGGGCCCGGCATGGGACCACGGATCGCCCCTGGCAGCAACACTTTCCATAAATCCTCGTCTTGCGACGGAGGGCTGCGTTGACGGTGTTGCGAGATCGGAAATTGGCACAGTCTACGATTGGTCGCAGCGATTATTACCCCTTTTAACGCTGGCAGAAAATGTTGATATAACTTGGTAAGGTTAGAAAAAGATTTATACTAATTTTGTAAAAAATAATTGGAAAATTCATAGCGGAGAACACGAAGAACTACTTTTCTCGAATATAAAAAGAGGCAAGGGTGCATCGTTGTTGGGCACAATAAGGGTTAACCCATTGCACTACATGATTAATCATTTCTTCAAAATCGAAACAGAACCTGATTCTTCTGTTAACAAAATCTAGGGATGAAACAGAAATTATTCTATTATGGAAGTCGAGGAAAGAGATAAAGTATCGATAAAAGAAATCGCAGTGCGAGGGGTTAAGTCACCGGCTGACAAAGAAGGCGAATGTCTCGGGTTTGAGACTTTAGGGAGCTAGGGCGATCTTTCAAATTTTGCATCCGTTTCTGTGCCAATTTCCCAGCTCCTCCAGGAGGCAATCCGAGCGCATGCCTGGACTCCTTTGGATGTGCAAGCAGTATACTCACGAAATCTTTGTTTCTTTTGTTCCGGAACACTTCCAGCGTGCAAGAATAACTTGGATTCCTTTATTAACACCGAGCCAGGGACCGGTTCCGGGATCGTGTTGACTTTAGAGCAATTCTTCGACCGGTTTCATAGGCCGATCGCGATCGCAACAGCGCACCGCACGCCGCAGCCGTAAGCGACGCCGACTTAAAGCGTGCCGCCGAGTAAGTTTCCGCGAGGGTAACGATCGTTCGCTTCGACAAAACACCTGCAATCGTCAAAATCAGTCGTATGGCCTAAGGGAATCGGTAGAGGCGCGTGCACGATTGTACACGCGGGCTCAGAAATTCGGACAAAATTCCGTGGCGGCGATCGTTGCCGGTCGAAAATCGCAGCGCAGATGCACCGGGGACTGGTTCGCGTATCCTCGCCGCGTCTCGGACGGAACATCGGGTTAGAGGACGCTGCGCGTTTCCGCAAAAATCGAAATCAAAATGTTGCCGGAGAAGCAAAGCAGGATCTCGCGCGTCGTCCGCGTCGATTGCTCGCGGTCGCATGCTGATTGAATCGTGATCTGCGCTGCCTTTTCTCTCATCCTCCGACGAAAGTCTTCGCCATAAGTATTTGCTCGTTATAAACTTCCAGGCTATGCTGATATACCTCCTCCTTCCCCACCCCCTCGTTCTAAAAGTCTTTTTTGCAGAGCGTCGACGGAGACCGTTCCGTCTCCGTCAATGTGTGCTACCGAGTGTTGCGATCGACCGTATTCCAAGTATTCGAGTCGTGGATCTCTCGTAAGTGTCCTCGTCTATTCGCGCGTAACGCGCGCGTATAGAGGTACGCACAGAAAACACGCTCCGTCGCCGTCGCCGCCGCCGCCGCCGCCGCCGTCGTGAACGAGAATCTTTGTCACGGCTTTGCTCCATCGATGGTATATTGTATCGTTATCGTTATTGTGTCTAAAGACTGATTGTATTTAACGGGCGAATCCGCTCCGAAACACTCGCGGGGAGGTGCCAGGGGTGGTCAGCCCCGGGCGGCCTCCTCCTCCTCCTCCTCGGCGATACACGTGTCGCGTCGTAAGTTACAGCCTGTAACACACCGTTATAAGAGAAGCACGCGTCCTCCGGCACAGAGACGCGGCCGAAAAGCGCTTACCGTTACCGTGCAATCGATCCAGAAACGTTTAACGGGCAGGAACATTGATCTTTCCGCGAGATTAACGTAACATTATTACGATTATTGTAATTCTTGTGATACTTTACACTTTCTACTTTGAATACCTACAAGCTATACTTGTCTACTGTTTGTATACTACGAAACTAAATGCTTAACCGACCGCGCGTTCGCTCGTCTCGACTCTTTTAAACCATTATTGTATCCGGGCCGGCCCGTCGTCGGGTCGGTCCGCGAGATCGGTGGACCCGCGACGTAATTCATTTTTAGCGGCGGGCCCCGAACGACCAATTGCCCACATCGAAACGATCGTCTTTTTTCAAACGAGTCAACGAACGCGTGTATCTCACCGAGGCTCCCGGGTGCGAACAACGAAAAGAAAAGAAAACAAAAAAAAACAAAACTTGCAGATAGAAAAAAAGCTGTCGCTATTCTCGCCGCTGTTACGCGATCTAGGCTCCATAGAGCCGCCACCGGCGGCGCTCATTTTTTCTCCGAAACGTTTCCAACAAACGTTGTTGTCCGACGAGCGAACGCAACCGGACCGTCGTCGCGTCGGCTCGTCCCGATCCAAATCTCGAGAGATCGAGCCGCCGGTCTCGTCGTCGATAGTTTAAGAGTTCGTCCACTCTTTGCCTTCCAGTATCTTTCACTAGTTCTCTTTGTCTTTTTGATCATCGACATACGTTTCTATCCGCGACCCCGCCACGCGGCACGGTTCTCCCTCGCCGGTGATGTCCGATTTGTCGCTCGCGAGGCTGTTTCCTATTTGGCCGGTGATCCCGAAGGATCTTCGGCGAAGACGCTACCGGAGAGAGAGAACCGTGCTCGCGGTTGGTCGTCGGGATTTTCACGAAACTATGCGATCACCGAGGAATAAATCGAGCACGGGAACAATCCTCGTCGCTTTCGCAAGAACACACCGGCGTCGTTATCGTATGGTAAACCCGGGACCGATCTTTCTAGCGTTTCCATATCTTCGAGAACGAGATAGGAAAACAAGGGCAGAAAGACCTAAATCTCTCTATCGTTCAAGATATTGCTGAATATATCAGATGAAATTATTAACATTATCACGGCGATGATAATTATTATATATATATACATATATATATTTATCAATATTTCATATTTATTGATATATTTAATGATATATATATTATATCAATTTCGATACGGTAAGAGAGTTTAGCCGAGAAAAATGTTGAATTATACAATGTTTTATATATACATATATATTTGTCGACGTTCGGTGACGTATTTTCTTATCATTCTCATTCTGCGATATACATTTACGATATGACTCTAAGATGATCACAAATCTTTTATCCCGCATGTTCACACAAAATATAAAATATATATACGCGAGCGTATATATATATATAAATATAAATTATATATATATATGCGCGGCAAACGGCGAATGAAGAATCTATTTATAAATTTCGTCTTTCGAGTCTACGACAAGTTATTGTAATAATAAATGGATGCACTCCGTTCGTCTCCGCTTGAAATCTTATGAATGTACTTTTGCAGACTCTGTGTAAAAGAAACGTCACGTGCTCCAAGGTCCACTTTCTCTCCTCATCCTTGGCCGGTTGCCATTGTTTAACAAAGCGCGACGCAGGGAAAAGAACCATGAGCGAGAAAGGTCGAAGCCGACTTTCCATTTCTCTCACGGGGAATCGATTTCGTTTCTCCGAACGCGAGAGATAGTGTCGATCGCGCGTCGACCTTGTTTGTCGCTGCGCTGTTTCGCGCGAAAACGATTTCTCCCGATCGATCCGATCCGTTCTTGCGACGGGCTCTTACTCGGTGCCCGTCGAAGTTACCGAACACGCGCGCAAACACACACACCTGCATACATACATACGCACACAGAAACACACATACGTGCAAAGTGGTTTTAAACGTTTTTTGCTCATCGCGCGCGCGCGCAGTATTTCCGGCGTCCGATCGAACACCGTTCGGATTCGACACACCTTGGGCATCGGAGAGTTTCAAAAGGGATACGATGACGCGCATGAATTTTCAAATGTATATTGTATTCAATTTGCAAAAATATATATAATGTACAATTACAGAAGTTACATGGTGAATTACGATACGCTTTTTTCTGTCGCACACACACTGTCCTCCGATCCTCCACGCGGCAAGGATCCCCGGGTCGGTGAAATTCCGAAAGTTCACGCAGCACGGCTAGCAGGGATCGACAGTCGAGGAGAACGGCGACGGCTAGCCGGCGATCGTATACATAAATAATTCTCTGCAACACGAGCGTTAGCCTAGGTAGTAATCAGAAGGAGCCATCGTTTAATACTAGTACGTCTGTATATGCACCCTTTCGTTCGATAACTTAACAGCATTTTTTTGGGACGTTTCTCTCGTACCTCGACAGTGCCACATGAATAATAAATATCTATAATAATGATAACAATTAAATCGCTAGTAGTTAAGTAACGCCGAGAATGACTTAACGCTGGTCGCTATTAACAGAACACAGAACCGTCCGGCGAACTGTCCGATCGGAGCGAGTTCGCCGGTTCTTCTCGTTCGAGTAAACTGGTACAAGTCACGATTTACAACTAAATTAGTTTCGCCCCGGTTCTCTCACGTTCGATAGTACGGCCTGTAAGTGGACATCGGGATATTGTTTTTCGATAAATGGTGCACGTCACCCTGGTCGTACTCCACGTCGTTGTAGATTCCGCTTTGATTCTGAAACCGGCAGGAACTTCGTTAAAAAAAAGAAAAAAAAGCGAAACAAATCCGCGCGTGACAGAACAGTGTCGATCGGATTGAGAGACACTCACGGCTAAGGAGGACCTGGACTTCGGCCTGGGCACGTGGAATCCGCTGCTTTGAGGGATCAGATCGGCCCTGTCCTTGTCCTGAGGCTCCGAATCAGAGCTGTCCGGGTCCGGCTGGTGTCTTTGCCTCGATCTCAAAGGTGCCTGAAGTCTCGGCAGCGGCACAGGTGGTAGCGTTCCGTGGACGTTGATGGGAGGATAGCCGAACACCGCCGAACTGGGCCTGGTGGGGCCCATGGGCTCCGTCTGGTACCAGAGAACGCGGATTAGTAAATCCTAAGAACCAGTTTCGATTTTCACGTTCAATTAATCGATTAGAAAATGTTGTATAACCAAAATAGATGCACAAAGATCTGGAGTCTACTAATTATAGACACAGCCAATACTTAGATTTAATATAGATCCTTGATCAAGGCAGCAATCGGCTAGAATTACTCTTTATGGTAAATAAAATTGTATTAATAAGACCGTCGCTAATGCCAATCATCATTGCAATATCATATCCAATTTGTTTAGCGACTTCGGTGCTTTCCAAGATAACTGAAGAACTTCAGGTAGCTTCGGTGAGGATTAATCAACATTCTCGTCATTATATAATCTAGTTATTGTGTCTTTTCGCTAAAAAAACTCGGTCCGTCGAATAAATACATTTCAACGTGAACACCGAAAATCGCTCACCGCGTAGACGTTTGCTGTCGCCATGTGGTCTCCGAAGTGCGCCCACATGTAGGGTGGCAAATTGGCAGGTGGTCCTTGTTTAACGGAGGCCAGAGTCCCCACGGACCCCACCCTGGCTAGAGTCCCAGGCAGGGTGCCGGGAATGCCGCCCTGGATATAGCCATAAACCGGCGATCCGACCGATTTCTGCTCCCTCGACCACCTTCGACTGCAACGCAGATCGGCGTTAACACGAAACTCGTTCGACCAACGAATATCTTCGTAGCGTGAATACGTTACCTCCACATGACCAGACACACTAGCGTTAAAACTATAATTATTAAAGCTGCTACCGACGCTCCTATAGCGACCCCCAGAACCTCTCCGTCGACCTCGCATTGCGCCCCGTAATAATTGCCGGTGCATCTGCGAAAATGCGAATCGATCGTTCGGAGACCGTCGAAGAAGGCGGGATCGAAGGTCGCCGGAGAATCCCGCGAGCCCTTCGACGACCTTTCCCAGATATTAATACACTCACGTGCACTGCATATGGTCGCCCTGGTAGGAGCACGTGCCGCGATTGTTGCAGTATGTCGATAGGCAGGAGATGCACGTTCTCCCGGACTCGTTCGCGTCGTCCTTGTGGGGATCCTTCAGTCCCGGGTTGCAGGCGCAGGTGAAACCGCCCCAGTTGTTCGTGCAGGTCGCCGACGAGTGGCAGTCGTTTAACTCCGACGAGGCGCACTCGTCGAGGTCTGTAAACATAATGTTACGAAGTTAGTTGGACGGCTACGCCGATGCTGCAATTAATGCGTTTCGAGGCGGACCTTGCAGGTTCGATATAGATCCGAGCGGGCTGTCTACGTAAAGAGCGCTGTTCCCGATATTGTTGCTCCTCCGGTGAATAACGCCGAGCAGATGCCTCTGCAGCTCCCCTGCCAGGCTTGGCCTAATTGTTCTCGGCTCGTAAGTGAGTTTCAAAGTTGCATTTACGAAGACGCCTCCTTGCCCCTGGCTCACGTTGCCTTGGTACACGCCGTTCACCGAGGAGCCCATGTACTCGTCCGAAAACGGCGTCATCGACATCGCAGACTCGATCTGAGAAGCATCGCGCACGGTTAAATTTACACGAGACCCTCCGCAGCCACGCCAACAGCGTATCCTCGAATTCAAGTATTTTCAGAGATCTGAATAAAAATCTTGTCGACGTTCTGAAGGAACGTACGTCGGTCACTTTTTAAGACCGCGTACGCGAGAATTTACACGCTCGCATCGGACTTCGTTTAAATTTAACTGTCCATTATTATACCTGAGATGGTCTCAGGGAGACCTGCCACTCTCTTATCGATACTAAACGATAAATAAATTAATAATAAACGATCGACCCACAGCTCTGTTCGCTTCGTAGGCCAGGGTTTGGTAGGGCTCGGAGTCCTTGTCGGTGAAGCCTCGATCCCAGACGACCTTCCTGTCGTAGATCTTGTCCACCCGCATGGACACCACGATGCTGATGATCCCTGCGAAAGAGAATCCTCGATTTAACACCCATTTAGCATCGGATAGTTCAAGGCGTCCAAAGAACGTGAAAAGTTCGTTCGAAATTTTTGCGAACTCTTGAAGAAGGAGATAGAGAAGTTAAAGCGTGAGGGTAGTTAAGAAGCTAGATATGCATCGACACTGACTCTTGCAAGGCAGAGAGTGCTGCAGCCTGGCGTATCCGGGCTTGCAGTGGCAGGCTGACACTCCTTGGACCGTGGCACAGGCCTCGTGCTGGCTGACATCGCAAGTGCTCGTATCTCCTACAATGCAGGTGTCGATTCTGACCGGAGGTTGCGTGGGCCTTCTATGGAAGGTCAGTCTTCTAATTGGGCCTGTAGGCCTCGGGCTAGCAGTCGGTGGGTCTGGCTGAGGCACTGCGAATCTGCGAAGACCCAGGGAAGATCAAGACTCGACTTCCCCTTGACAATCTTTTCATAGTATTCTCTCGATAACTGTCTTAACTTTGGGTCTACCGAGTGACAGTTATCCTAGAGGTGCTACAAAGGGTGTCAGAGTGGAAGTAACCGGGTGCCTAGTTACCTATTTCTATATTTCCCTTTTCAGTAATTTTTGGTAAACCGTGACAAAATATCGCAAAACTACTCTGGATCCCCATTCTTTGTATAATACATTGTCAAAAGTATAAAATATTTCAAATAGTTAAGCTTGAAAAATCGATATTCCCTATTTTTGGTTTTTCGTCGACGAAGATTTCACCATCGTATCCACCTAGTCTTGCTGATTAAACTAATACGAAACGAGATATAAATATAATTATAATTACTTGTGTAATAACTAGCCTGCAGATCTATATGGGAAAGTAAAAATTTTCCGAATCAATTGCAAGGAACAAAAGTTAAATAAAAATACACTTCTCCTCTCGTTGAATTAAATAAATTGATAAGAACGTAAGGCTATTCTGAAATTCTTCTAATGGATCCATATGCTTCATATTTCACCTAATCGTTTACATCATAAATCATTTATTACCCAAGTAATTACAGTCGTAATTATACCGTGTCTGGTGTCATTCTAATCAGGAAAACGAAACGAACAAGATGATAGAAGTTTCATAGAGATTGTCTTGTTCCGGTTGCATTAGCGCGAGTCTCATCAACGCGTTCGGAACAGAATCGAGAGAATACCGTGTTCTCTTTTCCAACTGACCCTGTGCCAACAACTGCAGGCGCCTGGGTCCTGGTAGGCTGCGGCTGCGGCTGCACCTGCGTCGCGGTCCTGTCCGAGTTCTCGAACAGGTTCAAGTAGGTCCTCTTGCCGTCGATGCTGACGAATCCCTGGCCTTCGACCGCGGACGTCAGAATCACGTCGGCGCTGCCGCCGTTTATCGGCACGCGGACACCCTCGCCTGGACAAAGGGAAAAAAAAGGGGGAGTGCGCTGGGTGGAGCGTTCGCGGTCTTAGATTCTGTGCAGCAGATCGTGCCAATGCTTACCGGAGCCTCCACCGCCGGGGCCTTGGATAGCCGAGACCGTGACATCAAAAATATCACCGATAGGCGGATGTCTCGGGGGAGGGTAGGGTCGCTGGGTGGCCAGTCCTTGGGGTCCTGTGTAATCCAAGGTGTCGTCGAGAACAATTCCAGGTCGGGGTCGGTAGGCATAGCGATCCGTGGGGGCTACAAAGGAAATTAATTGACCATGACGGCTGCCAGGAGCTCGACAAAGGAGACTAATTAACCGTACTTCTCCGCAGAGACCGGCCCGGATGCATTCATTATAGATCGAATGCGATATCGCCGCCGCTGAAGATCCACCATCCAGCACTATACTCTACCTGGATTTTTGGTGAACGTGTTCGCTACAGGCGTGTGGGCTATAGTCTTCTCTGTGGTCGTCGCAGTCTTCGTGAAAGTCGATGGCAGAATCTCCGTTGAAACGCTCGACGAACTCGCGGAACTTTCTAAATGGAACGATTTGCTCGGCTCCAGAGCTATGGTGCTCGGCGTGCTGGCGAGATTGCTGGAGCTGTTGCTGGCAGATCCTGCGGTTTGAACAACAGCCTTGGTTGTCGTAGTTTCGATCACCTGAACCGACGAGCTGGTCTCGATGTTCAGCGTCGCGAACGGTTTAATCGGCGTTTTGGCGACCGTTCCCTTCTCGTTCTCGTGGTTCCCGTTGGTCTGCTGTTGGTTGCCGATCTTCGACGACTTCGTCGGCTTGATCTCCAAGGGTATCACAGGTTTCGGGGCCTCTTCGTGCTTCCCGTCAGACACCTGGTTGGATTGACTAGACTCCGAGCCAGTCGTCGATGTCTTCTCGTTGCTTATCCTGTTGTCCTTGGCTGGCATTTGGTGATTCTTCAAGGGATCCTGCGCCGAAGTACTCCCCTTGTCGTCTTGGTTAGTCTCTTCGTGGACCTTCGTCGTGTCCTCCAGACTATTCGTAGTAGCCTCGTTGCGATCGTTCTCTTCCTTCTTGGTAGAAGACTCTGCCAGCTCGTCGCGATGAAGGTTCGATTGAGATTTGTCGGGGTACTTGTCGTCCGGGTCCTTCTCCCGATGGAACGTGGAGTCCAAGGACGGTGGCAGAGGCTTGTAGGGTGGAACCGGTCGCCTGTTACCTCCTGGAAAGCCAATAGGACCGATTAACACCGGACTGTCGCGATAGAAGTCGAAGAGACAGGGTCAGGCGACGTTACCAGGTCGATTCCAGTTCCACGGACGGTTTCCTTGCGGCACGATCTGCTCTGGCAGCGGGACTCCGTTGACAAAGGGTCTGACAGGTCTTTCTGGTGGCAGCTGGTTGACCAAAGGTCTCTCCGGAGCTGGTGGTTTCTCAAAGGGGTAAGGGTGGTCGGGTGGAGGAGGCGGTGGATTCATTCCGGGAGTGTCGAAATCCGGTGGCAGAGGTGGAACGTCGGATATCCTTGGTGGTCCTCTGTTGTTGATCCTGAAGAAGGAGATCGCGTGTTACCAGCTGACTGATAGCAGATCTGCGACTTATTAGTAGACTGCGGATTTTGTACATTTACGATTAAATTAGGATAGAACAAAAACCAAAAGAATTGTTAAGAATTGAGGAAAGATGAAGAGAACTTTAAGACGTCGATGTCTCATTTTTAATTTATTAAAGTTATTCAAGATAGAATGATCTTACTATTTAGTTTCTATTTCCTGCGACTAATGCAGACAATTTTGATCTTACAAAGAGTTTATCCCGTCGATAAATAAAGTTATTATTATTACTATTATTTTGCATAAGGATCAGCAGTCAGGTACCCGGGTATTCTTGCTCTACACAGACGCGTGTGCCATGGGCACCCTGGCATCCCATATAGACACCATGTACGGGTACTAGCTCTAACAGATAGCTGTTAGATTCGCGTATAGATCTACCTAGTAGCTTGGATCGGTCGCAGAGGTCTGACAGTGTTAGCGGCGACGTTCACGTTGCCGTTTAGAAGCTTGACGATCCCGGTAATGATGTCCTGGATATCAGGGTTCGCCTGCCGCTGACCTGGAGTTGCAGTCTGCAGGATCGGCGGCGGGGCATGCTCGCTAAAGATCCTCGGGATCTCTTGTCGAGCTTGTCTTTGTTGATCGATCGCCTGCAGGTACTGTGCCCGTTGGGGCGACGCTCCAACCAGCTGATGGGGCTCCGTCAAGAGTTTTGGTCCCTGCGGAGCCCCTTGTCCTTCCCCCGACACGGACTCGCTCGTCGTCGGCGCTATTCTGCTGGGAACAGAGTAATGAGAACGCATGAGCAAACTATGCACTCGATTAATAATCCTCGCGGCACGGTCACATAAAATCGTCAAGTTTGTGCCAACATCGTAAAACTTTTCACAGAAATGCAACAGAACGATGATCTTATTTTTGATCAAAATTAAAATGATCTAGAATAAGGGAGAATTAAAGAGAATTTATAATTTACGTTGAATTTGATAGTTTTTGGAAACATTTTGCTTTATCCATTGTGATGTCATGTCAAAATTGGTCATTCTCTGCGCGACGGAATCGCGAATTATACAAGTTTAATGGACCCACCGATAATATTCCCCGGGCTTGACCTCTATATTGTTCCCGTCGATGTGATCGACGTGTTTCGAGGACGTCAGCTCGTCGATCGCCTCCTGGTGCCTGTTGTCCTCGAACCTGGCGTCGCTCTTGTCGAAGCCCGAGACGCTCTTCGAGCTTTCTAATTGAAAAGCAGGAACGGTCCTGTGGAAAGTCGGCGATCCATCGCGATGAAACACGCTCGACGTCCTTTCGGGTCCTGTGTACCCGCTCGCACTTAGGATTATGTCTTCGGCGGTGGATCGAGAAAACGTTCGATCGTTTTGGATGGCCGACACACCTGCGAAAAGCGATTTCATGAGCGACCCGCTGCATAAATTTGTCCGCTCGCTCGTGCATGCCGTGGAAGAAGCGTCGCTTAAGGACGAAGCACGCCTCATCGACCTCCGAAACCCCTAATTGGTCTGCGAGCAACTTGAATTCTGCTAGATCATCGCGTCTTGATTAGACGGTGTAACAAAACCCTCTTAGCACGCGTGAGAAACCCTTTTCTAATCAGAGTATGCTCTTTTGTATCTAAAATGGCCCGAGAGGGCGTGGCTGCACGCCAAGAGGCGTGGCTTAGCTGCTCTCGATTTCTAACAATACCAGGTCAGCGCCTCGCGGAACAATCGCTGCCTAATACAATTCTGAGTGTATTCACACATTTTCTAACGAGAGTCCGCGGGAACTAGATAAATCATTTTATTTTATTCTATTTATTTAATTGGCGGAACGCACATTCGGTATGCTTATGTCTAAAGACCGTACTAGAGCTAACCCAAAATTCTAATTTTTGTACAGGTTTTCAGACTCCTAATATTTCATTTTCATTTAATCTTTATTTGATTTACGGACGAATGCGAAACAAGTACAGTAACAGCGAATACATTGTAGAGAAAAATGTAGTAAAAAATGTAAAGGTCTAATTCCGATAATTTCGATAATATTGAAAAGTCGACAGGAAGAATCGTTAATCAAATTTCAAATTTCGTTCTAGTACCTGCAAGCTCGTACTAATTAAAAAGTCGTACGCATTTTTTAATTTCAAATGAACAAAATGGTCGCAATCATGAGAAGATGTTTTTCAAACTGACCTATGTTTCAAAGCAGCCAAATGCCACAAATTTCGACTTTGTAAAAAATTTGTAAATAGCTTCGCAACATGTGTAAACAAATTCTGTACATTCGACTGCAGGAGCTGCTATAGTTTCTTCCAAAAAAATCTCCAAAACAGTTGGTAAAAACACACATTGGAATACCACCTTAGTCATCGCTATAAAGAAAAATCCTAATGTCTGAACGAAAAAGGGTGTCACGCGATTGCCCGGACCGCGCATCGATCGTTTACTTTAACCGATCTTACGGTAACCGCAAGAAACGTCTTGCTATCGATCAGCGAGTGGAGGGGTCGCGATCGAGAGTCGCAAAAAATCGAGAAGATCCACGGCCGATCGGGAAGGCAAACGGTACTCGAAAGGTTGACATTCTCGAGGCCGGTATCGAGTGGTTTGACCAACCGTGGACGTGACGCGTATGAAATTACTACTCTTTCTCTTTTCCTGTATCTCTCTCCCTCTCTTTCTCTCGTCGCATCTGTGCTGGTCTCTCCGTGCCCTTTCTCGATCACCGCGTCTCCTCTTCCGCCTTGTCGCGAGGGAAAAAGGTTCATCGACATTGTATGAATTCCTTTTGATCGTCCGTAGGGAGCCGCGATCCTCGAGTTCCTCGATCGTACGATCCACGGATTCCCCGTGGATCTTCGCGAGCGTCTGTCGCGCGCGATCCCAGGTATTTACAATTACCCCGATATCACTTTTATTGCGAGCTGTTAGCGGACGCGTGCACCGACCGTATTTCACGGTTGTCGTCCGTGTATTTACAGTTTCAGCATTGAAATTCCGTGGAGGACGTGGCAGAAACAATGAGGAGATCTTCATGCAGCAATTCAGCGACGCGCGAAGCAATTTGAGTGAAACTACATACTTGCGGCCGCCGCGTATAGATCCCCGCGGCTCGATAATGACGATCGGCTCTCTGTCCTGAATATCGCCGCGGTCTCGGCCGGCACGATTTCGATCGCCGAATCGGCCCCTGGAACGAACGCGACTCGTCCGACGAAAGTAACAGGTCGCCGACCAAAAGCTTCTTTCCCTAGAAAGTGCACGCATACATTACCGCTCGTCGTTTTTCCTCGCCGCCGAGACCTTTCACCAACTTTCAGCGACAGTTTCGGAAAATATATTCCGTCTCGAGCCCATCGTTAAAAACTCTATCCCGAAGAAGCTCCCTTCGCTTCTTCGTAACACGCCCGGCGAACTCGTGTCTTATGGTGTACGAGCTTCCAGGAAATTAATTGCTCCACGATCACGAAGGTTCGTTGTAGTTCACGCCTGGTCGGATGTAGTTTATGCCAGCATTTTAAAGGAGCAACTTTCCGATTAGCTGATTAACAATGCGCGTTCGATCAATTTTTCAATCGCCACGTCCAAGGGAGGTGATGGAACGCTGACCAATTTGGCCGCGAGACGCTCTTGCAAAACGACGATTTTCATTTCCGTGGATCTAATCCGCTAATTGCTCATTAGACGGCGCACCGAGCGACATGATTTCCAAACAAATGCCCGCTCGCGATCGCAATTAAGGTAACCGGTGCTCCGTTCTACCCGGCGAGCACCATGCTCTCGATGCTCCCTCTCCGACTCGCGTGGAAACAGCAGAAAAAGAATCATCGATGCAGCGGAGAACTTTTTAAAATTCTCCCCGTGTTGTTAATGGCTACTTTCAACTGGCTATCTCGTCATCGACCGCATGTCCAACTTCGTTAAAAGCATTCGAACGCTGTTCCCTCGGAGACCAGATCGTTGCAACTTCGCTGCAATTTATATCTTCGTTTCTTCATTTGCATATTCATTTACCAATTTATTCAGTTATTTATGTACTTATTTATTCATTTGCTAGCTTATTTACTTACTTATTTATTTATTTATTTATCGTTCTACGAAGGTAAACCATTGATACACAAGGAATCAATAATTTCGACTACGGTTAATTCTAGTTGGCAAATTAACCGATAGGTTATATGCATTTATGGCAAAAATCATTTTTCAATATGCTTGCGTTCATTTATAATTTTATTTATCAACTTGTCGATATTTATACGCGGGAGAACAGACGTAAATGCACTTTTGCGCTGAAGTGGCCGCGGTGGACCGGTCCACCTCTTCTTCTTACAGCATGGTCAGGACACACCGTTGCAATTCCGGTGCATTTCATGCAGCAAACTGTATCTCCGACTCCAGCCCGTCACCTGTTCCCTCGGCACACGTCGTCGTCGCAGCATCGATGCAATTTTACAGCGAACTCGGATCTCCGATTCGTAATGTCACGGCGCATCAGAGCGCCGATCATCGAGGCATCATCAACTGGCAGTAAAACAGAAATCTCGAAGCGGGGAGGCTGGATCTACAGTTAGGCGCGTGAGCTAATTCAGTTCTCGACGCATTATGGAAATGCGGGCGCATTGTTGCGCCGGCGAGGACGCGTTATTATCGCCGTCGAGATTACGGTTTCGGTTGTGGCTGACATCACCGTGAACCCGAGAACTGCTCCTAGACGTCGTTCCTCAGCGTTGGGAGACTAGCGTGAGAATCTGGGTAAATTGGCGTGGAAGGAAACGGTAGCGACGCTGCTAGAACGGCGATCAATCGCGACGGACCATCCCCGCGGCGGACTTCCTTTGATGTCGCGGCCGTTTCCCGGCTCTAATTTGTCGTTCGGAGCGCCCTTGATCGATCGATCGGCGGGATCGCGTGACCACTGAAAGTTTGCGGTCCGCCGACCGACCGACCGACAGACAGACAGGCCCGAAGGACTTTCGTTTCCGATTCGCTGGCGAACGAGTCGCAGAAACGACGATTATGAGCACACGCAGAGAGCAACGCCGGTCTGTAGTAACGGTGTTCACGTGAACACCATAACCTTCCCGACGTGAGACCAGGGACGCCCGTGAGAATGTAGGTGAATCGCATGGTTGATTCTGTCGCGGCGAGCTGGAATGCAGCCTCCTGACTCTGATCAGGTTCGGACCTTCCGGTGTCCTGGATCAAGAGATCCCCGTGCAGACGATCCACGGTTAAAATGGATCGCCGGAGATTGATAAAACCGCGAACGATCCGAATCCTATTCCCGACAGGCATTCCGATCCCACCTCCGATCCTTTTTGCTCCCAACCGTGATACTTAGGCGCGTGTTATCGAATTTTTCTACGGAGCACCGCGGGGGCGGCGGGTGGCGCGAGGGGGCAGAGCGTTCCCCGCTTCGCAGCCGAACGAACGGCTTCGAGAAAATACGAGACCGACGAGACATCGCGTGAACCTGCCGGTAAACATGCGTCTCACGAGGTAACGAGGTAACACAGTTTGTGTTTTACGTGCGCCGCGTCCAGAAAAATGATTACCGGTTCTGGATAGCATCGATCGAGGTATGTATGCAACGACGATGTTCAACGGCCTCTGGCTTACGCCGTTGGAATGCCGCTCGCAAGCGATACACGGCCGCGTTTCCTTGTTCCTTCGCGTCCGGCATCGGGACCGCGGATCGCCCCCTGGGGCACGAGCCCGGATCCGTCGAAATCGAGAGCAACGGAGCCACGCCTCTTAGGAACGTTCTGCGCGAGGCGGAGATTGCCTGGACTCGTTGCGTCGAAATTCGGAGGAACGAGGCCACGCCCATTCGCAGCCCTGCGCGTCAGGAATATTCTACGAGACAGAGCTCCGGGCTTGGCCGAATCGAGGGCCACTAGGCCACGCCTACTTTACTCCGTTTAACAACATGAATTGTTCCATACGGAATGACTTGATGTCTTCAAGATTCAAGGAAACGGAACAAGAATTATCTGGAGCTCTTTATATCAGACATATCCCATGGGACAGAGATCTGGGATTTTTTAATCAAGCTTGATTGGCTACGCCTATATACTCTGGACACTTCACAGCGTCAGCATAAATTGTTCCATGCAGAAAATATCGTTAAAATTGGACGAAACGGAGCTGAGTTTATCCAGAGTCATCCTGGATACATCCATCTGGATATGTCGGAATCTAGGGCCACTAGACCACGCCCACTCAGGACATCCTACTTCATATTCCAACCTAAATAACTCCATGGGGCTTCGCTTCAACTTCGATAAGATCAAAAGAATCAAATCAATGGCTTATCAACGTTGCCCACGGATGACGAAATCAACGATGGAATGAACATCTTGTGACTCTGCTCAAAGGCTTGCTCCCAGGGGCAATCTGGGGCACGTCGCCCTGCTACCACCGAGGAGGATCGATGGCGACGTAATCGATCGCGGTGTTCCCCGTGGTGTACAGAGCAAGGAAGCAGCGAGACCCGCTCAGAGCAGCTGTATTTAATATTCGCCTAGAGCCGCTAGAAGCTCGTGTGACCCCGTGACGCAATTCTAACAGCCAGCGTCTGGCTCGTGGCAAAGAAGAAAGAAACGTCGATGGGGTTTATCCGTGGAAGCGTAGACCGCGCTATGCGCCGTCTCTCGAGGCGGTAACGGCAGAGTTAACGGTACGCCATTCCAGCCTAATATTTATTCTTTTCGCCGGCGAACGCGACATTTCGTGGCTCCCCTGCGAGATTCGACAGGTGTTTCTCGGTGCCGTTCACTCGACCTGCCGCTCGTGCCTCTCGGGAATCCGATGATCGATCTGCTCCCATCCGGCCTGTATCTTCCTCGAATCTCGCCCGGTTCGACCGATTCTCCCGCGATCGGAGCCCTATTATCCGCATCCAGCTTACAGTACACTCGCCGCCGATCGTCTGGCGCACCGAAGTAATTGGCTATTAATAATTCCTCTAACGATCCTATCGCTTTCGTTCGGATAAGCCTTTATCGGGCCTTCGATCTGGCCTGAATGTCTTGGATCGCGGATCCGCGAGAAAGCGGACCACGGAGGATTCACATGGCTCGTTTCTGACGAATGCGCTTCGTGGAACGACACCCGCGTCACCCACGGCCGGACGAAAAATCCTGACCGGTGAACCAATCGACTTTCCGTTCCGTGGCCGCGCGTTGCGACGATTTCGTGACACTTTCGCGGCTAACGCGGTTGGGCGAAAGTCCGGTGACGAAACTCTTCGTCGGCCTGCGCGCTCGTCCGCGTTAACGATCACGCGACGAGTGTTATGCAAATAACCTCCGGGGACGGTTTGTTGCGTCGAACGAGTCGATGACACGGAACCGAATGAAACGCGAAGCCGATCAGAATTCCGGCGAGCGGTTCGGCGAAACCGCGCGCGGCGTCGACGGCTTGCGGAACCTTGAGGAGCCCCGCCTAGGTCCTAAGAACCGTCCGATTTGCATAAGCCAACGACCAGGCGACGTCGAAATCCGCGACGCGAATATACGGGCGTCGTTAACGAGCTGCGGAGCATGCGATTCGCCACGGGATGTGAAAATCACGAAGTAACAGGTACGTGCCAGGCGACGAACGCGCGTCGCGCCCGCAGCCAGCTTTCTCCTCTGCCGTTTCGTTTCTCGGACGCGGCTCTGACGTCTGGCGAGCGTTAAATAACCCCGAAAAATTTCACCGGGGCTTTTCCCTTCGCAGCGGATCGTTTCTAATTAACACTCTCGCGCAGGAGCCGATTATCTTCGCGCTCGCCGCGAAATAGGCGTTCGACGCGAGCTTCGAAGAGAAGTCGAATTTTTATTTATTTTCTCGGAGTTTCAAGCGTGCAGAATGTTACGTTAAAAGCGACGTTTCGAAATTCGAACGGTTAGCGACCGAAGGTAACGTTTAAACAATCCAGGGGAATAGTTGTTTTAAAACTTATTTTATGTTCTTCTTGGAGCTACATTTTTCGCGATATCTCCGGAACTGTAAATCCGATTTGCTCCAAATTTTATGGAGATATTCTGCACAGAGTATTCTACTATGTAGCGCACGATTTTTCCGACACGTCAATTGTTTAATTTTTTTACAAGCTGATTCGTCGGGATAAGAACAGCTGTTCTCTCTTCGCGCTGTTGTAATTTCTACGGTTATTAAAATTTTCGAAAATCCGTACGCTACGATTCAGATAACAGTTTCTAGTTTACGAATCGACGACATTTTTTTCATTGAAACGTCCCAGTACTTGCCAATTGTGACAGACAGCGATCGTTGTTCTACGAGAAGGGATTTCGGAAGCGACGAATAACTCCGACATTTTGCACGATTTCTACTTCGAAAAAATATTGGAAAAGAAAGCCGAGACTTAGATTTATACGCTGTTGGAAAGATTAAATCTTTTATTTAGCAATCACCTATAAAAAAATCCCTGAACTTTATCTATTTCTTGGCGCCTCGGAGGTGTCCCCCTCCCCCCTTAAATTATTTATACACAGGTCAGCTCTCGTAGGGTCGGCGAACCTTCGCGTTTTCATGTTTCCACGATAGTCGCGGCTATGCCTTCGCTGGCACCGCGTCAGCTTTTCAAGATTCTCATGGTAAATAGTTAATCCTGCGCGGTGGCCGCCTGCGCGGCAACTTATCCGGAACCGGATGCGTACACCTACTTACGTATCCGCGGCGCGTAGCCGGTAAATCATCGACTGTTATCAGTTCGCGGCGTAATTACAACCAGTGCATTACTCGATCTCTTTAATTACCCTTGGAACACGGGGATGCAAAGTTTCCTGGGAAAGCGGGATCGGTAACGCAGCCATGAAAAATGGCAGGAAGCCGCGGCGAGACGAACAGAGCGCGGCCGGTTGCTGCCAGAAACCCGTGCCTGAACGACACGAAATTTTCGACAGAGGTCAAGATACCGGTTCCAGATTCGACCGCGCGTGGCTATCGAACAGGTTCGGGAATTAATTCCTCGGGCATTTTCCAGCCGGCATACCTCCGGGATCGCGGCGCGCTCTTCGAGCAATCGCGGTTTCTAGCCGTAATTCGCGACGATCATTAGCACCGAGCATGCGAGCTGCCTTGGAAAGTGGGCCTCGAATAGTCCCAGTCATTGGGACTTCAGCCACCTCCTAACACGGATCGCATTCAGACGGATCAAATGCAGGCCGAACAACCGAACGAGTCCTTGGCCTACGATCCTGATCCTCCTGCGCTCTGCAGTGCCAGTAATTTTTCCAAATAATTTTGGGCCCATCGTAGCGGACTAAAGAACGACTTCGGTGTTTTACGCTTGTATCGGACTCGGAGAATCGGAGCTTTTATCGTCTCCGTTCGAAATCTAGACTCGCGCAGAACGCAGCGTAATCCTTGCATGTCCTAACGAATACAGTAATTTCTCCCTAATTCGCGCTCAGATCGCGCACAAATATGGACAATATGGGAAGCTGAGATACGATTATTATTATTTCATAGTTATTTTTTTGTAGTTACAGTTATTTTATAGTTGCCGATTCGTCGACAACTATAGAAACGACCTCTTCCCAAATCGTTCATTTTTGTGCGCGATCTGAGCGCGAATCAGGGAGAAATTACTATACAGGGTGTCCTGCAGCGTGAAGCAATAAAGGAAGTTCGTATTAACGTACGTGCCGTTCGACTTTGTTTCCGAGTTACGGCGAGTTTCTTCTTTAACACATCGTGTTTGCTCAGCTTTGCTGCAAATGTTTCGAAACGAGCTTCCCGTATTTGAACACAAGCCTGGAGACGTTTCGGGCAAATAGAAAGGGTGAGACGGTCGACGATGAAACGTCTTCGGGCTCGTGTTCGAATGCGGGGAGCACTTTTCGGACAGTTGTTGCGAAGGTGCGCAAACACGGCCTGTTAGCACCATTTTTACCAAGCATCTTAAGCTATGCAGTTCAACGAATTAATTTTGCGACGACTGTAGCAAAAGTCGAGAATCGATTACATAGAAAGCATAGAAAATAAGAGATGGTTTCTATTAAAAATCATTCGAAAATATAGTTTCACCCATTTGGTAAAAATAGCGTCGAACATGAATTATAGAAAGGAGTCTCTGAACGGTAGTCGAAGGAGAAACTCGCCGTAACTCGAGGACAATGTCCAATGGGACATGCGTTTACAGGAGCTCTTCTTATTGTTCCGACGCGTAGAATCTATTCCTGAAGTGTGGGCCCCGCATGCTGCGGGAGACAGCCGGTATTTTTGAGACCGGAAGAAAGCTGGTAGAAAGCTGGCATCGTGGACCAGCTTTGCTGGAAGCTGCAGAAAGGATCCGGGACCTACCTGCGACTGCCAGGAGGAACAAGGTCCCCAGGACCCTGAGCCTCGAGCGTCCCGACATCCTCTCTCCCAGGCTTGTTGCGTTCGAGCGTTGGGCCTCGGTGGCTCCTGTCGATCAAGGCCGCGGCTGATGTCAAGGACACTGGTATCAAGGGTCTCTCCTCAGGAACGCCGATGGCTGGACCAGTCTTTATCGTCGTGAAACGTGCCACGGTACCAACCGATCGCCGCCATTTTGGTTCGCGAGCCTATGCCGAGCAAAAACGACGAGCATCGTGGATACTTTGATGCCCCCGGCTACTCGCCATTCTTCTTCGGAGCCCCTTTCCTCCCCGCGTCCTTCCCTGCCGACGTGCCTTTTTTCTTCTCGTCGATTCGGTCTCGCACTCTCGCGCACGCCGGCTGACCTACTTGGCCGCGGTTAGGTCCGGTGTGTACGCGTCAGCTTTTCGGTTCCGAAGGTGTCCCACCGGTTTCCTCGCCGGCTCCACGATCGACTTCCACGGCGCTCCCCCTAATCCCTCGATTATTCTGCTCTTCCGCCTCGGATCCGTTTCTCCGGCTCTGTCGTCGGACGACGGGACGACGGGCGTCGTTTCACCGCGACGATGCGGGCCCTCCACCTGTGTCCTTATTAGAAAAGAGTTTCACTCCGCGGTGACGAAATTTCGAACACGCTGCCGCGCGGCTTATCCGCCCACGAACCGCTCCGCGATCGAAAGACCTTTGCCGATCGTCGAGCACTCGCTCTCCATTATCCGAGAGCCACTTCACCCCTCTGTCACAGAATCACACCGCGATGTTTCTTCGTTTCGCGCACTATTAACAACGTAGTCGGCCGCCCGTTAGAGCCCAGCCAGCAGGACAATCCGACTTTCTAATCGGCCGGGATCACGGCCGAATTCGTGTTGCGTCCGTGGTTCCCCTTGACAATGGGCCTCGTGCTGCTCGAACGAGCCGGCCGGATCGAACCGTGGCCAGCCAGAAGCAAACGAAGAAGGGACACCAAGAAGAGGAGAACTGAAAACCTTCAACGGCTCGATCGAGTTTCGCTTGAGGTTCGCTTCACGGTCGTTCACACGGGACTGGCTTACGGTGAGGCCGGTCATACACAGTTTCTCCCACTTTAACTATGCCATGCTACACGCCATGCTGCACTATACGAGCTCTTCTGGAGTGTATACGTCACGTCTTCGTGGCTGTTATCCACCATGCTGGTCTCCGCCGTCCACTCGGCTACTCCGGTCTCGTCCCCTCCCCACTTCCGAAAAATTTCTCTCTCCGTCCCCCTTTCTTCGTGGTCTTCCCTCTTCGTTCCCCTCGCGCCGTTCTTCGCGTCCTCTCTCCGTTCGACCGTTTCGAACGCGAACTCGTTCCTCCGTTGCCGGTTCAGCCGCCGCGCCACGCCGCGCCGATTCGAGCCTTTACCTCGACCTACCTTTCGATTCTTTCGGAACCTCCGGGTCTCGCGATCCTCGCGCTATGCCTCGTTCCTACGTCGCCGCGGTCCAACCTGCCTCCGCGCCGGGCCCTCTTCTCGTCTCCGCGCCGCTCCCGGGCCCCCCGGGGATCCTCAGCGGACCGTGGACATCCGTGTCCGCCTATTTTCTAACCGGACGTCCATTACCCCTTTCCCGAGGCGTCCTGTCGCGAAAGGGAAACGGACTTTTCCGCGAGCGGAATCGGCCTCGCGGACCCGGACGGTCGCGTATTTACTCGGACGAAAGCATGCGAGGATAACGGGACTCGTGGAACGCAGCCACGCAGGAATTAATCGGGCCCCGAATCGGCCAGACCGCAGGTGCGAAGTTCGAGGGGTCGCTAGCTGCACTACGGTACTCCGTCATTTTAATCCGTCGTAGCCGACTGCCGCTGAACGACGCTTGCTACGCTCGCTACGTTTCCTATGCTTGCTTAGGCTCGCTTGTCGTGTTTGCTTTTCGGTTCGCTTTGATAGCAGTCTTAGTTTGTTAGAGATTGTCGAAGGACAGATTCTTCGATTATGCTCTACGTTCGACTTTGAACGTCGTCGAAAACTGTGCTCGAATTTTCGGCACGCTTCGCCATGAAACACAAATAAACACAAATAATAAGAAGAAGGGGAGGTCAAGTTCGATTATCTTTTGCGTTCAGCATTTTCGAAAATTGTGTCTTCAACTGGGAATTTTTAGTATGCTTTTCGATGAAGCAAAGATGTAGGACTTTGTTTAGAACTTCGAATTTTCGGTACGCTTTTCCAAGAGCCGGGAACGTTGGAGTACAACTATGTACCTTGTTTATGTTCTGTGCTGAGCATCGTTTAGAACCGTGTCTGAATTTTGGCCGCGCTCTTCCAAGAGCCATAAATGTTGGAGTACAGCTACCTTATTTACGTTCTGCGTAAAGCATTTCTCATCGACCGTGTATGTAGCACCATTCCTGAACTTAGTGATCGACGAAAAGCGCTGAGAAACAGCTGAGACCCTGTATCGAGTTCATAAATTTGAGTTTATATATAATAAATATTCTCCCTAATTTTCCTTCGGTTTGCAAACAAAAACGGACAATTTGGGATGAGAAGATACGATTATTCGAGCCTTGTTCTTATAATAGTTAACAATCGGCAACTATACAAATTCTCTCAAATTCTCCATTTTTGTTTACAAGCTGAAGGAAAATCGAGGAGAATTTACAGTCTTGTCTAAATATCTTTTAGCTCGTCCCTTTTGCTAAAATCCATTTAAAAGCGTTTACGAATGACTTCGTTGTCTGTATGCTAAAATATAATAAGCTAAAAAATAATTATCAAGCTTCACATAAATTTAATTTATGATATATCCGGGTGAGTGAATAATAACCTTGTTGTCAGCCAACCTTATCGCGGGGTCAACTGCTTATGATAAAATCTTTAACAAACCTTACGTTAGTAGTTTCGTGACTGCGGGGTGAACCACCCCTGGTCAATGAACTTCATCTGTCGTACTAGGAGCCGACTACAAATTCAAGTAAAGATTATTTCTTGAAAGTCGAGTGAAATTACGCGTAATTATGCGTCCATTACGGCTGTACAGAATCTCTTGCTTTTCTGTTTCTTGTTTTCTGTTTCTTCTTCTGTTCTTCTTCTGTTCTTCTGTTTTATTTTCTTCTCTTGTTTTCCTCTGTTTCTTTTTTTGTTGTAACAAAGGGCCTTGTTTTCCCGTATGTACGACTTATTATTATTATTATTATTATTATTATTATTACTACCATTATTATAAAATCATTACTATATTCTGCAATTCGAATCATTGAACATTGTCTCTATAGAAGCGCGTTGGCAACGATTTTCTAAGTGACCAGAACTGCCGGATGCAACTTGATGGTGTGTCCACGCGGTCTCGGGCACAGAACATTGTTTCGAGCCTGGTGGTCAACAACAAGAGAAATGTCCCTAGGCCCCCGGGCGAGTTGACTCCAAGGCTGTCGATAAGATCAGAAACTGAGGCGCGTTTTTGTGGTCGGGTTGCTCCGGGGAGCTGTTAAAGGTGACCAGGAAACAAATGTCCGAAGATAAACGATCTCGCTCGGAGAAGGCCCGAGAGCTGTTTCGGTTGTAGGGTTCGTTAACACCTGGAACAGATTGTTGGCCTTCGCGGGCCGACGGTGTTGCGTAACAGCCGGGATAATTAGCAATCGATTACGGCGATTTAACGAGAGAGTCGCATATGAAAGTTCAACAGGTGTGACTCTCGCGGAAAAAGAAGTTTCTCCGGGACGTGTCTGGGACGGTTGGCGGCTTGCACATGGCCGCGACCCTTCATTCTCGGCTCCATCCTCCTCCGTCCAGTTTCTCGTTATGGCGAAACCGGGCTGGAATGCGCGGGACTGCCTTCCAAGATCGGCCGGGCAACATTGATCTTCGCTGGACGGATGGCTGCGGTGGTTGCCGCGTAATCTCTGATCTTCCTNCAGTCTTGTCTAAATATCTTTTAGCTCGTCCCTTTTGCTAAAATCCATTTAAAAGCGTTTACGAATGACTTCGTTGTCTGTATGCTAAAATATAATAAGCTAAAAAATAATTATCAAGCTTCACATAAATTTAATTTATGATATATCCGGGTGAGTGAATAATAACCTTGTTGTCAGCCAACCTTATCGCGGGGTCAACTGCTTATGATAAAATCTTTAACAAACCTTACGTTAGTAGTTTCGTGACTGCGGGGTGAACCACCCCTGGTCAATGAACTTCATCTGTCGTACTAGGAGCCGACTACAAATTCAAGTAAAGATTATTTCTTGAAAGTCGAGTGAAATTACGCGTAATTATGCGTCCATTACGGCTGTACAGAATCTCTTGCTTTTCTGTTTCTTGTTTTCTGTTTCTTCTTCTGTTCTTCTTCTGTTCTTCTGTTTTATTTTCTTCTCTTGTTTTCCTCTGTTTCTTTTTTTGTTGTAACAAAGGGCCTTGTTTTCCCGTATGTACGACTTATTATTATTATTATTATTATTATTATTATTACTACCATTATTATAAAATCATTACTATATTCTGCAATTCGAATCATTGAACATTGTCTCTATAGAAGCGCGTTGGCAACGATTTTCTAAGTGACCAGAACTGCCGGATGCAACTTGATGGTGTGTCCACGCGGTCTCGGGCACAGAACATTGTTTCGAGCCTGGTGGTCAACAACAAGAGAAATGTCCCTAGGCCCCCGGGCGAGTTGACTCCAAGGCTGTCGATAAGATCAGAAACTGAGGCGCGTTTTTGTGGTCGGGTTGCTCCGGGGAGCTGTTAAAGGTGACCAGGAAACAAATGTCCGAAGATAAACGATCTCGCTCGGAGAAGGCCCGAGAGCTGTTTCGGTTGTAGGGTTCGTTAACACCTGGAACAGATTGTTGGCCTTCGCGGGCCGACGGTGTTGCGTAACAGCCGGGATAATTAGCAATCGATTACGGCGATTTAACGAGAGAGTCGCATATGAAAGTTCAACAGGTGTGACTCTCGCGGAAAAAGAAGTTTCTCCGGGACGTGTCTGGGACGGTTGGCGGCTTGCACATGGCCGCGACCCTTCATTCTCGGCTCCATCCTCCTCCGTCCAGTTTCTCGTTATGGCGAAACCGGGCTGGAATGCGCGGGACTGCCTTCCAAGATCGGCCGGGCAACATTGATCTTCGCTGGACGGATGGCTGCGGTGGTTGCCGCGTAATCTCTGATCTTCCTGCTCGGGGGATAAGCTGCCTTATTCGCTGGCGGGAACGGTGCGCGCGCCGGAGCTAAACGATCCTACCCCGAAAGAACAGAAATAAAGTAACGCGAGCGATTCCGTGCTGGAAAGGTAGTACATAGGTAGTAACATCGAAGCTTATGGCAACGGAACCGGCGAAGAAGGCTCGTGACTCGAGCAGGAAGTTTGCTCGGCTGTAAATTTAATTGGCCGTCGAATCGAAGATCGAATTCGTGGGGCACGGGTTCGTTGACACCGGCTTTGTCCGCCATCGTTCGATCTAAAATAGCTATTTCCAGGTTCCGATTAGGATTCCGCCGCGGTGCCCAAAGAATTCCATTTACCCATTGACCTCACGTAAAGCGGGCGCGGCTTTTTCCTATTCCCGTGGTTCGTGTCGCGGTCATCGTGTGCGCCACGGTTGCAACACGGGCGCGCGCGCGCGCGCACGACCACCGCGCGGGGAATTAAAATTGCATTTCTGTATAACGGACAGCCCCCTGGGCAAGTATCCATGAAATTACGCAGCCGGGAACTCATCCTCATCCGGGTAGGAATAATAGAATGAAAATCGTTTCATTATTCCGACCGGTTCATGGAACAGAATATAGTTTAAATCGCTGCGCGCCGTGCTTCGGCGAACCTTTAAATATTCAACGTTCGGCTCGATAGAGCCTGCGCTCGATTCAACCGGTACCCGGGACTTGTCACCGTTAATTAACACCGCGGCGACGTGCAATAATGACGACGCAGAATTACCGGACGCCGCGACGACGCCGCGTGTTGCAATCCGCAACAGGTGCATGTGCATTCGTGGCCGCTAAAATCGCAGGTATCCTGACCGTCCCTCGGAAAGACAGGTTTCTGGTGTCGGCAATGCAGTGCCCAAACGGCCGTCATCTTTGACCTGGACGCCCTCTGCATTGCGGAGAACGTAGAGTTCGTTTTTTATCGTGCGCTGAAATCGAGGGAGAAAATTCAAATGTCCCCACTAACATTCCAATCTTTCCATTTTCTATATTCTATAGCATAGCATTTTCTATTCTACA